GAAAGGAGGAGGGGGAAGGAGAGAATCAGAGAAATCCAGGCACTTTGGTTTTATCCTCAGGCAGATATCATGGATGAAGAGAGAATGAAAATGCAGCTGCCCCATGAAGGTAGGGCTGGGCTCTGAACACCTAGGCAGTTAATGTGCAGGCCACCTTCAGAGACAAACAGGTGTCTCTTCTCCCCACTCCATCCCTCACTTCTGGATTTGCAAAATTCTACCCCCCCCCACCAATTTCAGCTTTTAAATAAACATTTGACACCATTAAGAACAACCAGTAGCTTTTTCAAAAGCCAGAAGAGAAATTACAAAGCTTCTAGCCATCAAAGCCATCATTTTAAGGCTCAGCACAGCTCCTCCCCTTCTCCCCATAACTGCTACTTTCTAGACTTGTGAATCATTTCAAATGTGGTGGGGAAGACAGAACTCAAAAATACATTCTTGATAAATTAGGACCATGGGAAATGTAGTCCTTCAGACGATGTCGGATTCTAATTCTCATTAGCCTTAGTAAGTCTAACCAATGTGAAGGATGATGGAAACAGCAGCTCAACATCTAGAACAGCTTTCTCCAACTTGGTGCCCTCCATATGTGTTGGACTGCAACTCCCACAATTTCCAGCCAATATAAGGCATGCCGGCCGGGGGTTATGGGAGATAAGGTCATGGAACTACATTCTACAGATGGTCAGAGGCACTCTTGTTGCAGATGGCCCTGATCTGGGATCTGGAAATAAGATTTAAGCCTATCCCTGACACAAAAGAAGAGCTGCCTGGTCTCTCAAGTTCAGTGAAGTAGAGAAATAATTATCATATTGTCGCTCCAGTCTCTTTGTGCTTCTCATTTTTCAAAGGAAAAAGAGTATTTGAAAATCGACATTCAGAAGCAAAATAAACATATACGGTTAAGTCGCAAAACTTCTTGGGTTCAGCAGATGGGTCATATCCCAGCCAGTGTCTCCCAGCACAGCCTTCTCCAACCCAATGCCCTCTGGATGTGGTAGACTACAGCTTATAGCATCCCCAACCAACGTATCAAAGCCATGCTAACTGGGGATGTTGGGCTGAAAGCTATGCTGTACCACATCCAGAAGGTGCTGGGTTGGGGAAAGCTGCTCTAACAAAATCTTGTATTTTTATGGAGCAATTCCCCTAGGTACAAGGCAAGAATGCTCATTTTGCAAACATTAAAGGCTCGGGTTCTCTCCATGGCATCTCTAAGTTCAAAAGAATTCCTGCAGAAGACCCTGGGCAAAACATTATTTTGGCTTTGCTTAGGTAGACTGATTGTGCAGCAACAGAGCCTGATAACACCGATCTAAGATTTCCTTCCTAAACAAAAGCACTGGGGAAACATTTGTCTCCAGAGGCTGCAAAGATTAGACATTTGCTGTGGCCACAGAAACAGGGGAGAGCCCATGGACCCATCTGCATTTGCATTCTCACCTTGCATTGAACAGGATGAAGAAATTTCTTCCAGATCAAGAGGCCAAGAAGGTGCCCTTGCCCAAGCCTGAATTCTAAAATCAGTCCAGAGCGTGGCAAAGGAAACAGTGATGGAGGAGATTTCTGATGTGCCTTAACTCTCTGTGAGTAAGTGTGAGTTCACAGTACCCAACAAGGCATTCCCTGTAGGGCCAACAGTGATGATGGGCACAGGGCAGGTGGGGAAAAGGTGCCAACTCTGGTCAAAACACAACAGAACAGAAGCAAGTGTGGAGTGTGACCCTTGCCTGGAGCAGGCGCTTCTCCAGCTGACACCAACAAGCATAAGAACACCACCAAAGCCACCTATCCAACCCTCTCTCCATACCATGACTCTGGAGCCCTGAAGACTGCTAGATTTATAAAAAAAGAAGAAGAAAGAGGGATGCTGAGTGCCCCCTTCATCAAAATAAGAACATCAGAGAGTGGGAGCCAGTCAAAAATCATTGTTTGCATTATCAGTTGCTCGACAATTACAGGCTTGTACAAGTCATTGATACATTAAATAAACACAAATGCCACCCCTCACCAACAGAAAGTGCTGCAGGAACCTTGTAGTGACGAGGGTTTGCACTGCTTGAGTTCAGCCCCACCCAAACTAGGCAGGGAATCAGCGCAAATATACATACATACATACATACATACATACATATATATATATATATATACACGCACACACTTTTATTTATCTATAATATTTTACTCTGTATTAACAGCAGCAACAGCTGGATACAGCTGGGACAGGTAGTTTCAGGACCAACGAAGCATGCAAAATGAAGAGTGTGGAAAAACTGGGGATCAAGGGGGTAGGGCATGAATGACCCTGAAAAAAGAAGCTGTAAGATCACAGGTGTAACTTGCAGAGTGGACTGCAAGGAAGGAAGGAGGCCCTATCCCAAGACTACATTATCCCAAGCTCCTCTTCACTGTGGCAGGAATGCCTCCCATTCTGCTTCTCAGCAGGCCCTCTGTTATTCCAAACAGGAATAATAGATTCAATGCTGATTTTTCATTTCTTGAGTGGCCCCTTTAGAACCAAGCTGCAGTTTGTCTTCCAGGCCACAAGAGATGCAGTCGCCAAAAAAAGTCATCTCAACTGGTGCTTTTTAAAGGGTCAGCAGTTATTGTCCCAAATAGAAATACACAGAGAGTAACCAGCATGCACGTGACTAGGGAGAAATCAATTTGCTCTGGGGAAGGCCTGAGGGCGGGGGCAATGGAGGGAGTGGTTTGAGGAGAGACCATCTGCTGCATTAAGAAAGGGGAAAGGCAGCTAGCTGGAGAGGGTTACACACCTTGCTAAAACAAAACAAAGTGGAGAGAAGTGATCCAACTGAGGGGCAGGCAGAAAATGGCAGTCTCTTCTCCCCCCCTCAATGCCAGCAGTGCAGTCAAGGGTGAAGCGAAGGGGGTGGGGGCTCACAGGATGCAACTGAGCTCAGATGGCGTCATCCGGGACAGGCTTGGCATCCGGGGACGGGACGCACTCCTTGCTGAGACGGACGATCTCCTGGGATAGAACCTCCAGATCCTGGACAAAGGAGGAAGGGGACGTATGAGGAAGAGGAGGACACAAAGAGGGAGGGGGAAAGATGCATGTTATTCAAGAGAGAGTGTGACCAAGATAACCTAACTTGATGCTCAGCTCCTGCTCAGGAAAACAGGCAGGGTTGCCTCCATCCTGGCTGCACCCTGACCTGCAGGATCCCTCAGTGCCTGCTCCCAGGGCACTCAGACTCTGGCTTGACCCCTTTGCAGGGACCAAGTATTTCTGGATCTTCTACATTTTTGGCTCACACAAAGAGGGTGGGAATAGGTGGGTATCTTTTCAAAACAAAAGTCAGCAACCCTCAAAATGGAAATGGAGGCCAACAGCAGGAGGGAGCCAAAGACTGAGGCAGAAATCTGAGTTTGGGAAAGGAGAATCATTTGCATTCCTGCTCCATACTGGGAATACAAGTGATACAACTGAGAGTGAGGACTGACCCCTTTCCCAAAGGGGGACATCTCCCCAACCCCTTAGGCATACACCAATTAATTGTCAGGTTAAAAATTGCTCGCTGACGATCCCTGGGCTTGAGTTCAAAGAAAAAGTCTGACAAACAGCAACATGAAAAAGGGAAACAAAGAACCAATCACAAAGGGAACTAAGAAAGTGCAAATGCCAGTAGCAAAAGTTTGTCTGGAATGCAAGAGGCTCTCACTGGTTGTGCTCCTGCAGTGGCCTCCTTCATTTCTTAGATCACACACTCCCTCAAGTGGAGCAGACCCTGGAAGCTTTGGCTCCCATGGGAGCCTGGCCCACATCTACTCTCAGATGGCATCTCTTGCCGCCCCCATGCCTGCAGCCTGTCCTCACCGTCTCACTTGCACCCTCCTTTCCCAACTGCACAGTGCCTCCTAGAGGCTGCCTCTCCACCACCCGCACTACTTACTCCGCCCCACAGCACCCATCTTTCTCCTCCTCCCCAGTGCTCCCCCTTGCCGTGTAGCTGTGGGCTTCCTTTTGGCCTTGTGCCCCAACATGCATGCACGTCCAACCTTCAGGACAGCACTGCTTCTCTGCCCCACACTGACCGTGCCTTTGCTGCCCCAACCTTGAAGTTCGTCCTCTGAATCCCTCCCCATTCAGATACAGCTATAAATAGCCTCCTCTTTCTGCTGACATCACTCTTTCGTCCCCTTGTTCCATTAGGACATTGGAAGGATCAGATTCTACATCAAGCTAACACTGAAAAAAAAAAAAAAAACAAAAAACACAGCCAATATACTGCAAACGCTTTTGCTGGGGCGGGTTTCGCTTCCCCTCTCGCCTCTGCATGTTCTCTAGTGATTAAAAAGCAAGCAAGCAGAAGAATTGCCTGTCTAGCCTAGCAATCCGTTTCCTGCAGCATCCAGCCCAGAGGCCTCCGGGAAGCTCACAAAATGCAGGGCATGAAGGTGATTGGCCTTCCCCTGCTGTCTGTCCCTGGGAAATGGCATTCCGAGATACGCCATCTCCAATCATGGAAGCTCCAAACTCCTATATATAACCATGACAATCATTCTTCTCCCCTTTGTGCCCATTTATTTGTATTACACTTTTGGAATAAGGAGGACAAGCTCCATGAGACTGATTCGAAGTGCTCTCCACTTGAGCTCCCAGCTGCTTATCTTTCGTAATGCCAGCTTTATCTTTTCTTCCCCAAGCTGGTGCCCTCAAGATGTTTTCAAATACAGCTACCAGCATTCCTAACCACTGGCCATGCTGGCTGGGGCTGATGGGAGTAGAAGCGCAAACATCTGGAATGCACCTGCCTGGGGAAGTTTGTGTGGAAGCATCAGATTGCCCATGGGCATAATGCAAGAGTGTCTGCGGCAGGGACAACTGGCCTGCAGTACGTGGACAGCACTAGTACCTCCACCCCCACCCCCACCCCCACATCCTTCCCTGCAAAGCAAAGATGCTTCTGGACATGCTTTCAGGATGCAGGGACTTCTGCCATGAGCTGTTCTGCATGGCCACTCATCCCGAGCAGCAGCCACCCCATGGACCAGGCTGCCACAATTTCTTTTCAAAATCTGGGTGGCCTCCTGTCTGTGGCACAGGGAGGAGGCCTGAGTGTCAGCGGTCCTTTGGCACGAGGCAGCAGCTCCCAGCTCAAGGTCACCACAGCATGAATGTGGAGGGTAACCTGCTACTCCCTCAGCTGCCGTTTGGAGACAAAGAGATTGAGGCTCTCTTACGGCCTCTGTTCCTTGCTGCTGCTGCTGCTGCCACCACCCCCCTCCCAGCAGTCACCTTGACCTGCAGGATGGGACAAAGCAGAGGAGTGAGGACTAGGGGCTGGGCAGACACCAGGGAAGCACTCTCCCTCCAAGACCTGCCCTGATGCCACACACTGCAGCAGGACTCCTCCAAGAGGGTTTCTCCTTGGTTACTGCACTGGCCCAGTTCTCAGGACCTGCCCGCCCAGCTTACCTTCTCTCTACAGCCCTTCCTTGATGTAGTTGGACTGCAACTACTCACATCCTGAGCAAGCACACCCAACAGCAAGGGCTGACAGAAGTCAAAGTCCACCAACATTTTGAGACCCAAGATTGGGGAGGGCTCCTATGGCTAGCCTAAGCTCTCCCTGACCAGCTCCGTGCGACTCCATGTACCCACCAAGGGGCAATGAGGTGCCTTCCGTGAACCCGCATTCAGAATACGTAGGCTCTCTTTTAATATCGCTACCACAGTCACTAATAACATTGTGAATAAAGGCAACGTGCCTGTGGACATGTCCAGTGCAGCCCATGCATTCAGCACCTTGTGCTGGATTGCCACAGCCTACCTGAGAGGTGCCCAGAACAAGATGGCAGGGAGTCATGCAACTGAGCAAGGAAGGCCAGGTGGCACCACGGCATCACCAACACATCCACTTGCCCGCTTGCCAAACACACCTGGGAATTAGTCCCCTGCCACCTGCACAGCAAGGGCTAAGTCTCTCCCCAGTGGCCCAGCGCAACTGGCTAAAATGCCTTTTCTCCAGTTTAACAGCCAGCAGTAAGAGAGCTAACTAAAATATGCTGGAGGGATTTATATTTCCAACCCTCACCCTCACGGCTTTCAACTCTGCCCACCCCTGGAACGTAACGCTCAAGAACATCCCCAAGATGGAATTAGGTCCTCAGGCTGAATTAGGCTCAACAGTGGCTTTCAATCCAGTCCTGGAACTTCAAGGCTGCATGTTACGCTTTGCCTTTGCTGTACAGTTCCGCTGGAACCAGTTCCCCCATCTCCAGGGTCCTGCAAGATGACTCTCATCCTGACATCTTCCTCCATTCCTGCAGCCCCCACATTTCACCCCGTCACCAAAGTCTTGGCCTCTGCAGTTCTTCCCACAAACCTTCTGTAAATGCATGTTCTTGGTGAGCTGCTCCTCCAACATATTCTGAAGCTTCTTGTTCATCTCACGCAGGTTCTCATCGCCTGGTTTCACCAGGTCCCTCAAGACACTGCTCAGGCTGCTCCGATCGACCTGTCCGTGGGCACCCGAAACATCTGTCAGTCAGAAGAGGGGAGAGAGAAAGAGGCAGAGATTTGAAGGATGTCTCTCAAGTTTAGTGCTGACTTGGGTGGCAAATCTGTGTCTTGGGCGTACCACTAGAAAGGCAGAAGGGGTATTACACGATTGGATGGATCCTTCATATAAACTCATTCCCTGAACAGAGAAAACTAGCATGGCAGGGACTAGTCCTGAGCCCTTCTCCTTGACAACTAGCTTTCCATGTAGAGGAGCACTCAGTCATGTGCCTCACCACAACTTCCCTGCCTGAAGTAGCAATATTAAAGGAAGTGGTATGGACCAGGTACAGGCTTGCCACTTCAATGAGAAGCAGGCCACTGAGAATGCTTCTTTCTGTGATCTGCAGATTCAGATCTGCAGACAAGAACCTGCTCTGGGTTGCTTTCTCCAAAGTTAGATTGTTGGACAAGTATGCAGCAGGGCCTCTCCAGCTCTGGCACCCTTGTCCTGGATCCAGCTATCTCAGGCTATCCTGAAGGGCTTCTTCCCTGGAGACCCTGAGGAAGTACGAACATGAACAGGTGTATTCCAACAAACCTCTGGAGGTAAGTAGGACAGATGTTGGGTGGTCCTCCTTGACTGGGTTTATTGTTGTGGCATTATCTGGATGGATTTCTTTAATCCTTACTCCATTGGGAAGCCCATTAGCCAAGACGAAAAGCAGACACGTGAGAAACAGACATCATCGGAGCCCCCCGTTTTTCCTTTCTGTTGCTCTGCCTGTCTTTGCTGCAGGATTCCTACCAATCAGAGATCATGTGAAAGGACACAGCTGCGATGTCACAAAAAGCCAATCAGAATGGCTTCTGTGATAATGTGAAGAAACCAAGTCAAAGTTAGGGCAGGTACTATGATACTCAGTGGCCAGGTCTGCTCAATTGCTGCAACTTGTCATGGCTTATTTAAACTGTGACAAGCAGTGGTGCCCATGGGAGCCAGGTTGCCTGTTTAGGTCCCCATTACAGCTTCTCGTGTCATCTGAACCTAGCAATGGTGGGTTGCTGGCTTCGTTCACATATCACCCACAACCCTAAAATAGTCCACAGGTTCTGGGTGGTTTGTTAACCATGCCAACAACACATCCTTGTTGGGTTTGTATAAGCCACAGCCACAGCCACAGCCTGAATATTCATGTTGGCTGCCCCACTGCACCACTAAGCCCCAGAGAATAATTCCCCCATGCTGGCTTAGCATGAGTGCTGTGGGGAGAGGGGCACTGCAAACCTTTTTGCCCTTGTTTGCAGCCCTGCTGAAAAAATCACTAAGACAGGGAGAATACGTGTAGGGAAAAAACATGTTTCTGACTAAATTCCCCTTCTCGGTTCTTGCAACTATGACATTTTAGAATATATGAAACACAGCAATTGTGTCATTCTACCATCAGCTGGCCTCCCTTGCAGAACTGGCCTCTCTGCCTCTGCTTTCATCCTTCTTGGCCTCTAACCATTACTCACTACTCTCCTTTCAGAGCTTAGGATGGATCTCATTGCCTCAGGGGGTTGACATAATTTTGGGGTCTTTCCCTGTAGGAAGGCTGAAAGCTGCTCAGCCATGAAATTAGGAAAACAGCAGGAAACAGATAACAGCAGTAGCCCATCCTCCATCCCACCCAGAGAAACTAGCGTCAGAAAAGAAAAAACAGAAAAGAAGGAATTAAGTCAGATTTTTAACTTGTATGCTAGAAGGTGCCTCCCCCACCCCTCTTCCAATTCTGCAGTCTTTCCAAGAGGGGAGACAGGCATATGAAATGACTCCTGTGGAAGGATGCTGCGCAGCCCCAGCACAGCCTGTTGTTCAGACTGGTGGGGCAGGCAGGGGGCCTGGATGAGGAGGAAGCTGCAAATAGGCAGGGCCTACAGGCCAGGCACCAGGCTTAATGAAGCACACAGGTATAATGCTATGTTCTGAAAACACTGGATGAGCTCTGGGTGAGCTTATACACAGTGAGCTTCAGCATCACTGAGCAGAGAATCATATGGGATCAGAGTGGGAAGGGGCCTACGATATCATCCAGTCCAACCCCTGCTTAATGCAGGACTCCATGTTACAGCATCCCTAATAGGTGGCTGTCTGGCTGCACATTGAGTAAGAAGCAACATGCAGAAAACTTGAGCCTATAGGGTAGATTCCCCCAACAGGGCACCCTCCAGATGCAGCCACATTGCATTCACAGCATCTCCAGCCAGTTGTCTAGGGAGGATAGGAGTTGCAGTCCAACACATCTGGAGGGTGCCCAGTTTGGGAAAGCTGACCCAAAGCTTCTGACCAGCCTTTGCCAAGTAAAGCCGCAACGTATCAGTTAATCAGTACTGGGTTTTAGGAAGTCAGAATCTGAAATTTATTGCCAATCTCCAACCTGACAGGCCAGGTTTCCAAACTGGTTCCAACTCTGGTCTCTCCCGCTGCCCCCGCAGGCTACACCCCTGGACAGGCCTCTCTGGCTCTCCTCACGGAAATGTTTAATCCAGTGCTGGCAACTCTTCCCAATGGAACCTCCAACCACCTCCTCTACTTCACAGGTTTCTATCAGGCCCAGTGCTAGAAAAAATAGTTGTGGCCCCTGAGCACAAGGGTCTGGGTGAGGGGTGGGGGGGTGGGGAAGGCCTGTGTGCCTGAATGTACCCCACCTGCAGCCATTTGAGGCAGTCTGCTCCTTTGATTCCCCAGAATGATGCTGGGCAAAAGCAACCCTGACACATGGATCGATTCCGCCTGCTCTCCCTGCTCCGGAAGTTCAGCCTTCATCAGTCCAGCTGTCTCTCAAGGCAGAAATCCTTCTGGCCCTCGGCTGTGCCAGCATGTGTTGCTGCACCTCCACACACACAGAAGACAGAACACCTGGTTCCCAGCGTCAATTCTCTCCACCAGGACACCCAGCTTTCCCCAGTGCAGATACCCCATGGCACAGCACTTCCACAGGATCATACCATATGCTCTTCTCATGGATAGGAGTAAGTGCCATCAAGAACAGTCCAAAGAATAACCACACCTCTTTCCCAGTGTGCTACTTAATCAAAATTGGTGAATTCAATTTCTGTACTACAGAAGTTGGAAGCTCATGTGAATTCTTGAACTATGAAAGTCATGCAAACTTGCACTTTTGTTTTACTCAGTGTTTGGTTGTCATGAATTAGGGAAAAAGAAAATGGAAGGCATTGACGCCGCATCACCTAAGGAAATGCCACTCTCTCTCTCCCCCACAACTGTGCTCTTTGATTCCAGCATGCATTGCCCACATTAACCTGAAATCATCCTGACAACTTTAAAGAGCTAAAAACACGGCACTTTTTCCGCTTCAGAAAAAGAACACCAGATTTCTCCCAAGTCTGAATTCAGCACCCAGTATCCAGGTGTACACTGTGATACCCAGCTTGCTCATGCTCACTCGCTCTCTCTCTCTCTCTCTCTCTCTCTCTCTCTCTCTCTCTCTCTCTCTCACACACACACACACACAGTCTGCCAACATTCAAAGGGTGGGAAGAAAGGACTGGAAGCATGTTGAGGGCTAAGATACGTTCAGTCAACTTGCACTATGGAAGCAGCCGTTCCAGCAGACTAAATGGAGGGAGAGTGGGGCCTATCTACCAGCCCTGCTGAGATCATCCCAAGCCCTCCAGCAGACTGCTGAGGCTACCCAGGCTCAAGCACCCCCTCTGCTCAGCAGGCTAGCACCAAGTCTGTGTGTGCAAAGCCAGTTCCTCTATATCTACCGATACTGCTGTCTCCTTGCATGCTTGGCAGCACCTGTTTGGATGTTATCTGAAAAGGCAGACATGCAACTTCTTCAGCCACAAAGGGAATAAGCGTAGCACATCCCATGTGCATTTGCCACAAGTGCACACAACAGTGTTCAGAAGCACAGAGATCAGGTAAGCAGAACAAGTTAGGCCTGATCCATCACCACACCTCACAAGCACCACTGCACAGCACTTCAAGCCATGGATCTTTTCCCTCCGCTCAATAGACCTCACAAGAATGTTTCAACAACCGGTGTCTGTTAGGAAGAATTTTGCTCAATGGCCAAGATATACTGTTTTGGCAACAGGAATCAGAGAGGGGGCACCTCTCAAGTCAACATCACCATTTTGTCCCCTGCTCATCCTCTTTGGCTGACTGGAGTGTCAGTCCCCAGAAAGCCCAGATGTTTCTCCAGTGGGTCCCAGATCTCAGTCTGCCACGTTCTCTTGCGAATAAAGACTAGAGGACTATTGGCGGTAGTGGCTCATGGGTCAAGACACCTGTCACACAGTTAACTTGGCTGCTCCAGTGGCCCAATCCACCAACGCGCAGCTTCTGTGCCACGTCTGGCCGAGAGAAAACTGTGAGTGAGCCTCACTCACTTGTGGAAACCTAATTTACCTTATGCTAAATCTACACAGTTTAAATTGCAGCAGAAGTAGAAATAAAGGCAATGTTAATTAAGAAGCAACAGACAGGCACTTACTAGGAGGACTCTGAGAGCAGTGAGGTCAAGTGGCTAGTGCAAAGGGCCAGGAAGCGACTCCTAGATTCAATTGCAAAGATTTGGAGGACATATTAGGCTGAGAATGACAGTCAAAGGCAGAAGAAAGCAGCACAAGATGCAGGAGGAGGAGGTTTGTATTTTTAGCGTTCATGAAATATTCACTGGCTGGGTTGTGTGTTGCCGAGCCGAGGCGAAGGCGACCCTGCACAAGCTATTTATAACTGGCTCCCATTCCTTGCCCACGGCACAATTCTGCATGGAAGTATGGAAAACTTATTCATACAGTAACTTATCCTGAGGATGCCTGCCCCCTGCCCCCGACCTTGTCAACCCTAAGCATAGGAGGATCTTTCCGCGTGCCCTCTTAGAGTCACTGCAGGACGCATAGATGCCTGCATGCAAAGAATTTGCTCCTTTGTGTTCTCTGCAGTTCTGGCTGGCCAAAGGACCATGCAGCACGATCCCAAACAAGGTGAGAGGGGAGATGACTCATGGGCAGCAGGCAAATGTTATGGATGAGGTCACAATGGCAGAAGGGGGCTGGAACCCAGGAGGGAGAACGCAGCCCATAGGAGAAAATGTCACTTCCACACTGCAGGGCTTGCAGGTGCAGTTGGGTTATGGGGCATAGGCAGAAGGATGGTACAGGCTGCCTAGCCAGGAACATGAGGAATGCAACCAGCTGACAGAGAGACTTTTCTTTGTGGCCTGGTGTCATGGCTTCTCGCTCCGATTGACTTGCCTAATGATTTGCTGAGCCTGACACTTTCTCAGGCCAAGAGCAAAATGTTGACTGCTCCTTGCGTTTCCACCTTTGTGCATTCCGAGGGCAGGGAGCTGTGTGTGAAACTGAGCGCTGTCCTTCCAGACTCTTCACCCTAAACCGTGCAGCAAAGCCGCCATGCCCTGCTTCCATCTACAGCACAGCATCCAGCACCAAGCAACTAGAGCATGGGCACCTCTCATACTGAGTATCCCACTTTCTGTCTCCATTTCTAACACAGTTGTTAGGCAGAACCACTATGTGCAAAGAAGCCATTGTCAGAAAGTTGAAGGCAGCTCAGATTCACCCATCCTGAACTGTAGCTGGAAGGACCAGGGTGCTGATCCTGAACAGCTCCCTCCCCACTTGCCAAACTCTGTGGACTTGTTTTTTTCACCAATAGCAGGAATAAAATCATAACAGCTGCACCCCATGGCTGGATCTATGTTTATGAAAGTCCTCGTCCCTAAGGGTAGGACTAATGGCTCTGTACAGGACACAGCTCTGCAGTTGCATACAGAAGCATGGACTCTGGTATCAAAGGATCTGGCATGCTGAGAGTTTCAGCATTTTTGTTTTTGTTTCTAGTCCTTAAGGCTCTGAAGCTGGTGCATGGGTAACTCTAGGTGAAATCTGAAAAAAGATATAAGCAGTGCTCCTCCTACACTGTGTTTGTACGACAGCCATTTCCACAGAAAGCACCAGCCCACCTCATCCAGATAGTCATCCAGATATCCACCAGTTCCACAGGGAGATGACAAATGGAAGCCATCCAAAGGCTACGAACACTGTCTACCAACATTACATGACCCAGAATGCAACAATAAGCATGAATGCTGAGATAATAAACTCAGAGCCAGTAGTTGATTCGTTAAAGATGTCAGTTCCACCGAGCACTAGCAGCTAATTCAAGACAGTGGAATGGTTTGGATGAACTCGCTTGCATGCCCAGGCTAAGTCCTCTCATCCCAACTGCAGGATTATACAACAGAAGATGGAGAAGTGAGACATGAGTGGGCAGCAGAGAACAGGCAGTTATTTAAAAAAATGTTCATTCTTTATTTCATTTCTAGCCTGCTTTTCTTTCTTCTATCTCAGAACTCAAGGGGGGGAGGGTGCCATACCATCTCCCATACAAGCCCCTGAATAGCTCCAGACCTGCTTAGCTTCCTCCTGTGCCTTCAGACCATCTTTGGGGCAGTTGGCAGGTAGTTTTGGACTGAGTTGTCAAATGAAGTCATTTGCCTGGTAGCCTCTAGACTCAAAGCCTTTCAACTGAAACCCTTGCACTTTCAAGGCTCACTTCTACAACTTAAGGGTTAGAAACCTAAGTAAAAAGAAATCTGGGGACTCTTCATCCAGAGAAATATTGCACATGTACATAACAGGGTCTGTTCCCTCTTGTTTATACCATGGCTGCTTCCCATGCCATCACAAAAGGTTTTTTTCTTTTAATGGGGGATGCTTTTTTAAGACTGTAACAATCTGATCTGAGCATGGTGCCTTTGGTGAAACAAGCGGTTCCTTTCCTTTCCTTTCCTTTCCTTTCCTTTCCTTTCCTTTCCTTTCGCAAAGTGGAGTTTTCCAGGTCTCCCTTCATCACTGATTCCTCAAGGGGTCTTGAATGCTCCTCGATACCATGATAGAGTCAGACCCATATGAGAAGTCCCAGCCAGCTGGAAGGTAGCATAAGGAAGGGAAGGCAGAGCTTGGAAGATGGGCCTGGGACAGCCATGCTGAACGTGGGCATGTGCTTCTCTTTGTACTACAGTGAGGTTGAACAGGAACAGTCCCTTTCTCTTGCCTTTGCTGGAACCTGTGATGGGAGATGGCACTAACAGGCTTTGACAGCAGGTCCCTACGGAGGCTGCCACTTTGCCTGCTGCAGGAAAGGGAGGGCTCTGGAACTGATGACACAAAAAGGTCCCTCTGGCAGGCCAGGACTGTCACGGAAACAATGCTGGCACAAGGTGGGAGGCTGGATCCTGAGCAAGCACATGGAAAAGGAGAAACACATGCACCCTACTCCCCACACATGGATCACCTGCTCACTCTGAACAGCTTCACCACTGTGTCTGCCCCAACTCTGCATGTTTAAACACTGCTCTATGGCACAAGATCACAACTCTAGCCCTCTCCCTGCTGTGTGAGAAATTGCTCACACCAAGACTGGCTGTTTATGCAGGCAGCACAGTCACTCAGTATCAATTAAGAACCAATATGCAAAGAAGGGAAAGGAGTAAGGGAAAGGAAGGACAGGGAATAGGCCAGCAAGATAGGTACACTCAGCCTCACTGAGCCTCAGTTCTGCAGGTCAACTGGACCACGCAATTTGAACCAATTAATTTCTCTCTGATGTGCTCCAAAGACCCCTCTCATTTGCCTTCAGTTTTTTCAGAAACAAGGGTGAGAGACCGGATGAAAGCAATGGCTCACTCCCATGGAATTGAGATTGATCCAATGCAATTGGCCTCACCCACAGAGCTGAGGTACAGAAATGCCATAGGATGACCATACAGAAAAGCACCTTCCAGGGTGTCAGTTAAGTCTTTCCCAATTCTGGGCCCTCCAGTTGTTTGGGCTTTCACATTCCAGCTGCTACAGCCAGTATGGCCAATGTTCAGGCATGCTGGGAGCTGTAGTCCCAAATGTCAAGAGGCCATCTGGTTGGGAAGACCAAACCAGGGTAACATTTTAAGGGGACTTCACACTTGTGGTTAAGGGGTTAGAGCAGGAAAAATTGGATTTTTACCATCTTCTCTTTCCTCCTGCATACAAAGGATGGCATCCAACTGGAAGGGTGAGCATTCAGGCTCCAGAGTCCTATTTTCTTTCCCCAGCATCATTCACATACCTGTACTTTTTTTCTTAGTGGTTGTAACAACAATTCCTCTTTAAATTCAAATTAAGTTGAAATGTGTCAGATTGTGAACACATTTCAACTTAATTTGAAATGTGTTCACAGGGTGGTGAGGGAGCAAGGTGAAGATGGAGGGATGCTGCACAAACACACAGTTTTATTTTGAATTGCATATTCTTGGCATGGATTTATATTTCTATATAAACTAATTCCTAGGCACCTCACATTCTCACAACAATAAAGGCCATTAAATATAATCCACAGATCTCCATCTGGTAAAGCTCAGATCTGCTGGTTATGCTCGAGTGGGCCAGAGATGGAGCAGCAGCATGGCCAACGCTTAGGAAAGTGGAGAACTGAAGTCCAAAGCATCTCGAAATCTACTTTTTGCTCACGTTTGTATCTCACCCAATTATTATCCCCCCCTCTTATGCTCAGGAGCACACCACCATCCCTTGGAGAACTCCCCTTGCACACAAGCCACTACTCACGATGGCTTTGAGGGCGTTTGAGGGCACTGCTCAGAAAACTGCTGTGAAGTCAGAGAGTGGCACTCTGGAGACCCAGCATGGCCCCCATAGGACTGAAACTAAATGGCCTATCCATGCCCGTGTCTCCTTTGCCCTTCCCTAATCCCTGGCTATCCCAAGCTGGTTCCCTCCTGAAGGCCGGAGGTCTTACCAATGCGGCTGTCCATCACATAGGTCTCGATGATGGCACTCTTCCGGCACAGGTCCTCAGCCATGGAGGCACTGCTGACTTCAAGGTGCTTCACCTGGCAGAGAGAAGACTACATCATTACCTCCCTCCCAACCCCACCTTTCCTCAGCATGCAGATACCAGCTCCATCTGCATCTCCTCCAAGGCCAGGTGAGCTGCCTTCAGATTCAGTGTGGTGTAGCTGTTAAGAGCATGAGACTGGGACTCAGGTGATCTGGGTTCTAGTCCCTGCTCAGCCATGGAGGCAACTGGGTGACTTTGGGCCAGTCACAGACTCTCAGCCCAACCTGCCTCACAGGGTTGTTGTTGTTGTGGGGATAAGATGGAGGAGGAGAATGATGCAAGCTGCCTTGAGCCCTTTGTAGGAAAAAGGCAGGATATAAATTGAAAAATAAATACATAAATAAATTCAGCCAGCCTCAGAAGCTCTGCTTTTGGCCTGACTTACACCCCTCATCTCTGATGTTGTTCTCCAGGCTCATCTCACAGGGCTGACCTCTGGTCATAACCTCAGCATTCAGAACTGACTCTTTTGAAGAGTCCTGCTGCTGGATCAGACCAAAGGTCTGTCTAGTCCAACATTTTGTTCACACAGAGGCCAACCAGGTCCCTGTGGAAGGCCCACAACTGGGCCATGAAGGCAATAGCACCCTCCCATCCCAGCTGTCCAACAACTGGTTCACACAGACATGCTGCTGCTTCTACTGAATGTAGCATACAGCCACCAGGACGTTATTAGCCTTATCATGCATGAATCTGTCCAGTCCTCCTTGGATTTGTTGATGAGGTGACTCCTGGGACTGGGTTCCCCAGTTTTCTTGGGCCTGTTCAAGGCAACTGCAGGCAACATTCCTAGCAGGGCTGGCCCAAGGTAGCTTGCAGACTAAGACAAAGAAGAAGATGGCGTCCCTTCCAGTCCACACAGGCAAGCTAATCGGACTGGCAGCTGGACAATTATTTCAGGGATGATACCCTGTGCCTCACTGAAGGGTGGCAGACTAGTTTTGGGGTAGAGGATAGGCTGTGTAGCACACACAGTGGTGTCCTCCAAGAGGAGGAAAGGCCAAGGAGCTCGGGGGCAGCCCCCACCATTTGCCACCTAAGCTGGCTGCTTCATTCTGCCTCATGGTAGGGCCAGCTCTGCCTCCCAGTCAATGAACTCCTTGCCTAGGAGTGATGACACCATAGATGGCACTGGAAGAGGACAATACAGCATCTCCAAAAGCTCCAGCCAGCCATTCCCAGACCCGGCCCTTGAATTTTAATACCTTCTCCTCCAGCAGCCATTTCTCCTGCTGAACTTCTGCCAGGCGCTGGAACAGCTCAGAGATCTCTTCATCTGACAGGTCAGCTGGCCGTGGCAGTTGTGACTGTGACTGCGGACTGCCGGTGGTTGACTGCAAGCAGAGAGAGGCCACAGACAGGTCACGAACCACATGAAGCCCCTACCATGCATCCAGAATTGCCCCCTCATTGGAACTTGTGGAGAGCATCCTGATTTCCCTGATCCCACCAAGTAAAGGGAGTGGCTATTCTGTTATTCAGAATGTTATTCTGACCATGAGTAAATGTCTCATTGCATGCTTGGCTATTCCTTATTTCCCCCAGTACTGGGATGTCGTTCCAAGGGCACCATTTCAGAAGCTACTTAAAGAAGCTCTAAGAGAAACTCCCCAGCACACACTTTATTGGGAAGGCCCCTTTGGAAGTGGAGCTACCCAACTGCTCAAAGCAGACCTCACCTCTTCCAAGAGCTTGGGTGCCTCCAGCTCCTACAGACAAGCTTTTCTGCCCTTTGGCCCCCTCACCTTGTTACTGCCGGCTCCAGAACCCTCCTTCATGATTTCACGGTAGCTGAAGGATGAAATGCTGCTGCTGTCCCCTGTCTGTGCCCGGCTGGGTGAGCTGATATCCGCCAGGACAAGATCCTCAATTCCTGGAGGGCAAAGAGCAATGTAAGGACACCAGGAAGAGCAGCCCCTGGTAACGTCTTGCCTTACAGGACACTCCGCATCAGGAGAACAGAAACTCTTTCAGTCCAAGGGCCAAACTCCATTTTGGACGAGCAATCAGGGGCTACCTTCCAATTGTGAGTGGAGGCAAAGGCAAAAGAGGGAGGAATAAAATACTAGCTTATCTTTGCTTAGACCTGCCTCTGCCTTAGGAGAGGTTTCTCAGCCTCCTAGTATGAGGGGGAAACTGCTTACAAGCCTGGAAACCAGCAATGACCATTGTTTGTGGTGGGGGGGGGGTGAGACCAGAAAAAGGAAGTGTGGTCTCCTAGGGAACCCCAGAAAGCCAAAGTGGGATCTCAGGAGGGCTGGAATTGGTCCTCATACTGATGGCTCTGCCCCTCTGTCACTACATGCTCAGAAACTGCATAATCAAGGAAATGACACCAAGAAGCACATATAACAACAAATGATACAGCAGACAGCAGATGGGCCTCTGCTTCTTAAATGGAGTTGGCACAAAAAACCCCAGAAAGCCTCCAGTTCAAATTAAACACTGATTACAGCTCTTTTACTATTTTTGCCCTACCCAGATCTGAAAATAGCTCTATAGAAAGAACTAACTAAGATCTGAAAATAGCTCTATAGAAAGAACTAACTAATGGTTCGAATAGATTCTTTTGGGATCCGACTTCTGTACAATTCTAGCATTCTGCATGTTCTATATATAAGGAGCATTCTGGAAAAGATGGTGATAAAAGTTGGGAGAGATTGCAGGATTTATCTGAGCAAAGGCATGCACGTTTCCCTTTGAGTGTCGTGAGGCAAAGTCCTGTCCTAAATTGATCCCCATACTCATACTTTCCCCATCAACTAATTCTTTTCCTTTCCTCTCTCTCATTCGGCAAATGCAAGAATCCCAAGTGGCCTTGAGGAATGAGAGAGGAACTACCTTGTTTACATAATCAGGAATATACCAAGCTCCTGAGCAGAAGGTAAACACTCCCAATCCATTAGCTGCAGATAATGGATGAGGAACAGACTGCTGGATCCTGCATTCTCATGATCTCTTGTGCAGGGATCCCTCTAAATTCCTTCTACTGGCCTCAATCACTGGCCAGGATTTGCTCTCAACCAGGGCACACAGTTCCTTAAAATCAACCTGGGTTAGTATTCATAAGGTTTAAATTTACTATCAACATAATTCTTAAACACAGTAAAAGCTAGTAGGGAAAACTGAGAAAAAGAGGGAAGAAGGAGGGCTGTGATGAAGGAGCAAAGCCCAGTCCCCAACCATTTTGAAGGTAACAGGAAGAAAATGTTTGTAAGGCCCCACAGGAGTTTCCTTGCTTGTGGTCTCAATTTGCCTGCAATGAATTCTCAGCTTTAAGCTTCCATATTGCAGCCTCTCCTGCTTATGAATGCTTCTGATGCAATATTTATTGATTGGATTGGACTGATACCCCACCTCTCTACCAAGAAAATGGCCCTACCCTGCTCTTGTTTTCCTGGATTGTTCTGAGTTGTGGCTGCAACTGATCACAGGCGTTTAGTCAGATGCTTTTTGCTGGTTTTGGTTGTTTTTATGCTTGTTTTTATGACTGTTGGCTGTTCTATTACTATATCAGTTTTTTATTAGAATGAATTTTATGGTACTATGCCACCTTAGGGGGGCTCTTGCCCTGAAAGACAGCCTAGAATTATTGTAATCTAATAAAGACTTACAAAAAGAGGCAGTGACATTTAAAATAAAAACTGACTTAAAACAATAATAAAATACAGTAAAACATGCAACAACAAAATAATATAAACAGCACAGTACTCAACAGACTGGCTTACATGCCACACGTCGTGCCTGAACAAAAATGTCTTTGCTTGTCAGCTGAACAGAGCTAATGTGGTGTCCCTCCAGAGGAAAGCCCAGTCTTGGAAAGCTCACCAAAAAGGCCTTCTCTCGTGTCTGCAGCATACTTGTCTCTGTTGGTGGTAGGACCCTAAGAACAGCCTTCCCAGGCAGGCTTGTATGGGAGAACACTGTCTTCTAGGTAGCTTGGTTCAAACCACAATGGGCTTTTCTTCTTTTCAGTGCCAAAAGATGGAATGCTGCCTTATCCTAGCAGACCTGCTTCACAATACCTATTATTTTCAGCAGACCTGAACAGACACTACATTTTATACACATCCAAGGTCCTATTCCTTCAGCCTTTAGATTTAATAGAAGTATATTTATTTATTATTTAGTTGATGTGTATCCAGTCTTTCTACCACAAATTGGCACTCAAGGCAGCTTTGCAGGCATAATTTAAAATTGATTAAAGCAATAACATGCAATGAAAATGTAACAATGTTACAAAATATGTTTTGTATGAAATATGTTTCATATTTCATACAAAATATGAAAATGTTACAAAATAAAAAGTAAAAAGAGCACCAAACCCAACAGGCCACTTACAGGCCAAAGGCCTTCCTGAATAAAGCAATGTTTGCCCATCAGCAGAAAGACAGTCTGTCTGTAGCTGAAATTTCTCAGCAGTTCTCAAAGGCAGCCCTGCATTGACCATGTCAGCACAATTCAAACGGGATGTAACTGGCACACATGTGACTGTGGCCAGATCAGGTATTTCTGGAATAGGTTTGTGAGCTTGAGCTGTGCAAATACCATCCTGTCCTCCAATAAGACCTGCCCATTTGGGTTCAGAGCTGAGCCCAGGAGTACACCCAAACTGCACACCTAAGTCTGCAGAGGGAGAAGAGCCCCATTCGGCACTGGCTACAGCCCTTCTCCCTGATCTGCTTTTCAAAAATGAACCAGCCCGTCCCATCCAGAATCCCTCCTGTTCAGCTGTGATGTTATTCTTGTCAAGCTAAATACTAACAGAAGAGGAAGATATGAACAACAAATTCTTAATTGGCATTTACCAAGGACCAGATCTGTTCAAAGGGCTGAAATCCACTGCAAAGCCTGAGTGGAGCAAATGAAGCTGAGAAATAGTGACTGTATTTGGAAATCATGAGAGAAAGGAGCCTTGAGTGTCCCTCTGAGACCTACAACCACCCCCCTTCTCCTTTGCTTCTCCAAGTGGAAAGAAGAGATGAGGTGCCTTCTGCTTCTCTTTTAGATTCTCAAGTTTAGTGTATTGTCAGAGCCCAACAAATGGGCTAACATTATTACCCATGAATTTATTACAAATGCTATTCCATCTGAAATCAATTTCATTTTAATGAATCTGTTCTAAGTAAGGGTAACTTTGGGTACAACCCTTTATATTTGTTTCTCAGGAAATCCTTAACTATGGCTTGCTTAGAAAAAACCTAACTTCAAACCAAGTTGGCTTGGTTTAACAAAGCAAAGTTAGGATAGAGCACAGTTTAGGGTGCAGGCAACAGATCTAGCTGTGGTTAATCTAAAGCAGAAGTAGAAGCAGAAGCTTCTGATCTCTTTGGCAGTGCACCAGCAGAAGCGGGAGGGAGGAAGGTGTGGCCCTGAGGAAGCTGATGGGAGAACTGAACATGCTCCTGTCACGAGAGACATGATGACTTCTGATTGCAGCCCTGATCTCTCAGTCTCACCTACCTCACAGGTTTGTGGTTAGAATGAAAAAAAGTGGCGGACATGAAAACCAGCTGAACTCCTTGGGAGGAAGGGCAGAATATGGAACTAATTTAGCAAGCCATGCATATGACAAACCCCACTGACAAGGGACACTTTTAACACAACAGATTGCAGAATGTAACTTCCAGTACAGACCATCTGGTGCATTCACCAGACTCCCCCACCCTTTAAACAATTGGGCTAGCTTGCTTTTGTTTTTTAAAATAGCAACTTAAGTGATATTGACTATAAACAGGCTTCTAAAAAGAGAGGGGGTACCCAACATGAGAGGGTCTCTAAACAAGTTGTTCATTGTCCAGTAATGACCCAGGGGTCAAGGAGATTATTTCTTGCCCTCTGATTTCTGCTCAGTTTCTCTACCAGGACTGACTGAGGGCACAGCACAAGTGCGCATCTGTAAGGGGCCGTGAGATCCTGTGTTGTTTCCCAATGTAGCTAGTATAACAAGAATCACATCTACCAGTGCAATAACTACCATGATGGTATAGTGGTTGGAGTATTGGGCTGGGACTGAGAAGACCCAGGTCCCAGTCCTCACTTGCTCCTGAAGCTCCAGTCACCAACTCTAAGCCTAACCAGTTCCACTGACTTCTTACGAGGACAAAAGGGGGAGGATCTTGTAAGCTGCCTTTGGTTCCTTGCAGAAGGAAGAAAGACAGCATATAAATGTAACAGTAACATTACTAACAGTGCCTTTACTGCTTTGTTTAAACCCTGCGTAGCTGTGATGTGTGATCTGGCTCATTGCACTGCAACAACAAACCAATTTTATTATTATTTATCTGAACCCTGGGTCGTCATGAAGGAAGCAGGAGTGAATGAGCTTGCTGTTAATGCTTGATTGCTCCCACTGCAGCTCGACAGAGCTCAACAACCTAGAGATATTCTGTTTCTGGGTTGTTGTCTGTGATGCTTGAACCAGGACCTGCAGGTTTTTGGGGGACGGGCAATCCAGAGTGAGGACTAAAGGTTTGTCCTGGGTGGTCTCTCTCAGAACCCTTCCAGGTTTATCACACAAAATGAACCATGGACTGAAATACCATGGATGGAATGCAGGACCTCCTGCATGCAGTGGAATGAAATAGGAACTATTAACTGGTACGATATAGTTGATTGCAAGCAAAACGTGGTCCTTGCCCCCTGGTGACTCTAGCCATGCAGAGTCAAAACTACATATAATCCCATCCCATGCATCCTCAGGAGTCAATCCAGTGCCCTGTTTCTTGAAATATATTAACAGTGCAGTATCTCTCTACAAAAAGTCTCCCAAACAGTGGCCAATTAGAAAAATAGAGACAAGAAAGAGAGGGACACCAGGATCCGATCCTGACAGAACCCGACATTCTTCTAAAGCAGACAAAATTTCTAAGTATTTCCTGCTTTTACATGGGCCTCATGGGGAGGTGCTCTCTCCCATATATACCAGGTCCACACCTATTTTACTGAGAGAAATTCTGCAGCCCGCACCACTTGTGTTCGCAAACAGTTCCCTGAGCTCAGAAATGACATTTCTAGCAATCGTGCTGTCCATTCAGCACGGAGCCTGGAGAGCTCTGTGTGGAGCAGAGAGCTCTGGGTGCGTAGGAAGTGAGAAATCCTACAAGCAAGCACTGCAGCTGCCTAGCCTAGCTGGTGAATTTTTAATCCAGGGCTGCATGAAAATAAGAGACCCATTCAGTGCTGGGTGCCTAGAGCTCCTCTCTAACCCCCCCCCCCCGCAAATGTGCCTTACTCCCTTCTTCAGAGCCACCTGTCCCTGCAAGAACAAACCTCTTCCTCCTCCGACTATGCCAGGGACTCATTTCCTCCTCACTTCAGCTTAAAGCAGCAAGCTGAGCTGAAGGTCATGTGCCCTTTGTCAAGAAGAAGGAGTGGGCTGGGGGTGCAGAGGATGGCTTTTAAATATAGTCCCATGGAAGTAGGATTGTTTTGTGCAGACTGCTGTGTGTGGCAGAGGGGCAGCAGGGGAGGGGGTGCCACCACAGCAAAAAGAGTGAGAGAAATTTAGAAGGCAATGGAGGTCCCTTCACAATCCAGAGTAAAGGAGATCAAAGCAGCAAGATCAAAAGGCAGCTTGGTAGTATAATTGGCCAAGGGCTAAATGACAGCACCTCCTGGGGCCCAGGCAAAGACTGCACATTCCAAACCCTCCTTCAAAGAGAGAGACAGAGATGCGGGTGGGGGAGAAGGCTGGAATATGTCGACCATTCAATGGCCCTCAACAGTTGCATGGCTAGGGCTACTCATCCAGTCTTTGCAATATGGCTCTTCAGATTAGAATTCACAGATGAGACGTGGAAAAACAAATGTCCTGAACAAAACTGGATGTATTTAGTCTGCAGTATCCATGGGGAGAAACCTTCCTTAGATACAGAAACATTTTCATGCAGTTCTCCTCTTCATAAAACATCCTGATCACATTCTCCAGCTCCCCACTGTTCCTTTGAACTCCTTTTGACTTCTTCATCGTGCCTTCCCCCTCTCCCTCATCGCCTGCACTCCCTTCCAAAGTTTTCATCACGGAAGTTAGCATGCTCTTGACAGCCTTCTCATGCAGACAGCCCAGCTCTGTCCCAAACTCACACGCCTCTTCCTGTGTATCACAGTGCAGTACAGACAGACCCAAACCCTGCACCCACATTCTCTCTCCTAGGACTCAACAGATGGCTCAGTGAAGAATTCAGCAGTTTTTAATACTTATATCCTTAGAAGGTCCCTTCCACCAGCATGGCTGCCCTCCCTCCTTGGGCCACACAGCTGCAATGGCCAACTGTCTGGCAGACCATAACAGAAGCCAGGCAGGTGCTGGCTTCCTATTCCAGGGGTGTCTGAGGCTGGAGGAGGTGTCGTTTGCTTCCCCAGGTAGACTTCTTAAGTCCACAACAATGCTGAGCCAGGAGCTTCAGAAGCTGCTGTCTGAGCAAGTTCTTCCTATTTTCTGGAACTAGATGCACAAAATATTTCATTTCTTCAGGTACAGAATTCAAAGTGGATTTGATGCAGCATTGATGGTTGGGGTCATGAACTCGCCTAATAGGAATCCAGAGTCTTGAGAACCCTTTAGTAGAGGTACAAATCCAGCCTTCCTCAGCCTGATGCTCACCAACTCCCATCATCCCTGATCATTGGCAGGGGGCACTGGGTGATAGAGTCCCGAAACTTCTGGAGGACACCAAGTTGGCGAAGGCTGCCTTAGGGGAACACTGCCATTCTAAGTCTGTTCATCTTCCCTCTTCTCTCCTTTTCCCTCATTAGCATGAAAAAAATCATCCTTTTCCAACGCCACGATACAGCTCCTAATGTATACACATAAATGTCATTAATACATTTGGCCTGAAGAGGAGAGATCTGCCCACCATCTTAAGCTACTGCAGTTGGGAACGGCCTTCCTGACTTTATGCTTACTGTCATACTATTGGCAGAACTAGGACATCTTTCTCCAATATGTTTGGACCACAGTTCCCATCATCCCTGACCATCCTAGGGTCTAATGGGAGTTACATCTGGTACTCTCCAGACGTTTTGGAGTGTAGGAAAGCTGTTCTACCCTATACATGCCATCTGGAGCCAGTCCAGAGTCAACTCTTAGAAGCTCTCCAGAAATCTAAAGGTGGAAGACCTATATGATTTTACCTGCTTGAAACTATAATATTTTGGTAAATACTTGCATGCACCTTTTTAAGCAGATCACTGGTTTCATTCCTAGCATATATTTTCACAGCGTACATGAGGCTAAAAAGGAAACCATCATATCATGTGCTGCAAACACTGTATAATTAGGGCTGAAAATATTGTTGTATTGCAATGTATGGCTGTGAAAGCTGAACCATAAGGAAGGCTGAGCACCAAAGGACTGAGGCCTTTGAATTGTGATAGTGGAGAAGACTCCTATGAGTCCCTTGGACTGCAAGGCAATCAAACTGGTCAGTCCTAGATGAGATCAACCCTGACTGCTCTTTAGAAGGCCAGATGCTGAAGATGAAACTCAAATACTTTAGCCACCTAATGAGAAGGAAGGACTCCCTGGGGAAGAGCCTAATGCTGGGAACAATAGATGGCAAAAGAAGAAGGGGACGGCAGAGAATGAGGTGGCTAGATGGAGTCACTGAAGCAGTTGGTGTGAGCTTAAGTGGACTCTGGGGGATGGTGAAGGACAGGAAGGCCTGGAGAAGTGTTGTCCACGGGGTTGCGATGGGTCAGGCACAACTTCACGACTAACAACAACAACAATATATGTTGTAATGCTGCAGGAAAACAAAGGGGGATCAGAATTTGGTAAAAGGTACAGTATTCTGCTCTCTCAAAATATCCAGGTGGTGGAGGGATAGGGTTAAAGCAAGTTTCTAGTCCTTATACTTTCAAATATATACTTCAAATAACTGTGTAAAGTTGAAAAGTCAGGGGAAGGGAACAAAGTAAGATTCTTGGTGATCAGGAGGCAGGCTCTAATGTCCCACAAATAAACTCTCCGCTCTTCCCCATGCCTAGCAGCACCAGAACTGTGCATTACAATAACTACTGCAAAATCAGTGATGCAGACAAACTTAATTTGCATGTTTAGAGTCCAGCTGTTCCTTGGAGCAGAAGTTTGGTTCCTCAGAGCAAAATGCTGATATTTTGTTTGAAGGAAATGGTACCTAGCCCCCAACAGTTGGCTAAGCAAGTACAAATCATGGGCACTGTAATATTTACCAGCTAAAATAGTGTGATGATAGGGAACCCCAGCAAATTATTTCTGAATGGTTAAAGCTATGTGAAGTCACCCATTCCTTTCCCCCGTTCCTATACACGTACACCTTAGGGCACTTTCTCACACTAAAGTTTAGCAACCTGGTACAAGTCAACATGTGCAGCACGAGAACAGCAGATGCCTGCGACTGGAGCTGCAGTTCCCATTTAATGCAGCTTTCCCCAATGTAGTGCCCTCCTGCATTGGGTGTTAAGGCTACAACACCCAGTGCAGGCTGGGGAAGGTGCATTAAGACATGAAGGAGGGGGAAGTAGCTGATCCTTCTAACACTTTAAAGGAAGTCATGGTAACTTTTAAAATGCACATACTTTCTCAGATAGCAAATATGCATTTTTCTTCTTTTGTTCCAGCAGACAAATGTGGAATGAGAAGCCACCCCACACCTCTACTGCTTTTCAAGAGGAAAACTTGAAGACACCCACCCCTTCAGAGTCTTCCAAAACCATGCCTTCTTCCTGATCACACCCTCCTGCAGTGCAGATGGGAAGACCAAACTCAAGTCCTTCCCTGGAGGAAGCCACCTCTCACCTGTCCTGCTCTTACTATTGGTCAAGATCTCCTGCAGACGCTCCTGGAGTTTGTCCGCTCGCTTTCTTTCCAGGTGAAGCTGCCGCTTTAGGTCCTTCAGCTGTTTGTGGGGGAAGAGGCATGGGGTACATCAGAGCTGGAGGAAGGACTCACTAGGGCTTAACCCAGCACCCAGCTTCAGTTCTAGTTCAAATATGCAAATACAAGAAAATTTAACAAACCCATCACTGATGGTGTGCAGAACAGCTGTGGGACTGCAACTCAGTGCATAGTTAAACTATGGAATTTGCTGCCCACAAGGTATAACGCTAGCCATTCCTCTGGACTGGCCAAATTCACAGAGAAGAAGACTATCCATGGCCGCCAGCTCTAACCCTAACCCTCCAGCATGAGACACAGAATGCCTATGCATTGGGAGTTGCTGGGGAGCATAAGCAGGAGGGAGTGGATGCATTTATGTCCCGTTCGTGGCTTTCCCGACTGAACAGAATGTTCAACCAGATGAACTGATCCTGCAGCAGAGCTCTCCATATATTCCTACCCATTGACCGCAAAAGAAAAGGGTAGGGTTACATGCATGCCTCATTGCTGTTTCCAGAACCATGAAGCAGCATGTGTGTGTGGCAGGGGGAAACCCTTGATCCCAATTCAAGCAAGATCAGAAGGTGCGACTTTCGGGCAGCTTTGTGCCCTCTGAAATTGGGCATCAGCTGGAGACTGCAGGGATGCCAAGATCAGAAGTGTCTTGTAACAGCCCAGCATCTCACACGTGTGCTACATTCTCAGTGTAGGAGGAAAGACACCACTGCAATACCTACATGATGGAAAGAAGTGTGGCTACACATGCAACTTCTAGGGAAAATGCAATTTTAGCAATCTGCCCTCAGTCACTAAGCTTCTTGTTGCTGGTGGCTTGGCTTACTGGCTGAGAGCAAGGAGAGAAGCCAGACTGCCAAGCCAAGGCATGAGCTTGGGGTGGAGGCACTGAGACACAGCCCACCATGGTGCAAGGGGGCTGCTGCCATTCCTGCAGCAGCCCAGAACGGAATGCCCCAAAGGCCTTTGGGCAAAGGGATTGCCAGAAGAGCAGCATGGCTGTGTCTTTGCTATTTACAGCAATCCCTTCCTTTTCTTCAGGTCCTTGGCTCCAGTTTGCCCCACCAGGAACTCCAAATGGCACTAAGCAATGGCCAATGGCCAATTTGGAATGGAACCGTCTTGCTCCCAACCTTCATTTTTTGCTTTTCTTGGGGGGTGGGGGCGGGAGCACCACGGTGAATCGTAGGAATTGGCCCTTCAAGCTCACCAGTCATCCCAGCCTCCAACAGCGTTCAAGGAATGCCAAGGCAGAGAAAGATGGGTGGGAAGGAATGCCCTTGCTTTCACTCAAAATTCTCCCAGGAAAAGAAGGATACTTACCAGCCACAGTGAACACTCTGGGTTCAAGGGTCAGACCAGCCTTTCCACAACCTCATGCCCTCCAGATGTTCTGGATACCAGTTTCTAGCCTTTCTGGCCACTGGCTATGCTGACTAGGGCTGAGGGAACCTGAAACTCAAGACCTCTTGCAGTACGGTCAGCAAGGTCTTGCCCCCACCTGGAAACTCCACTTCCCTGAAAGAAATCCCCAGCTTACCGCTGCACTGCCCTTCTTCTCCAGGATCCGCTGCCCATCCACAGTGTCTTTCACCTCCTGCCGAGGAGACAAGGCAGTCACACACATGCCTTCAGGATGTTCCCAGAGAGAGAGGTCAAAGGATGCTCCCGTCACAGACTAAGGGGTGGTAACATGCTTGATAATGCTCCCTCCCCTTTATGAAAATGGCTTTCTTTTTGTCTAGTCCTCATTGTGACAAATGGGTCCATAAAGGGGGAGGGCACTGTTACCGCTAGTTCATTTTCTAGAGTTCCCACACTTCCCCCTCTTTGCTTTACAGGGTTCACATCCACATCCTACTGCCCACCAGCACCCCAGAACCCCATTCCTGCTTCTTCCTCCACCACTGACCTGCTTTGCCCTCAGGGGCACTAACTCCGATCACGGCACAGGCAGCATCCCCAGACCTTTGTTTTAAACTGGGAAATGCAGACTGGGGAGGTATCCGGGGAGTTGCACAGGGAGGACAGAGCTGAGGGGCAGCACAGACAGTCCTCACCCTCCAGCCAGGCGACCAACCAAGGGAGGCTGCTTCTCCGGACTCCCAGGAAGAACACCCCTACTAAGGGAAGAGGAAGAGGCGCCTGGCCCCACCCCTCAGCAAGAGACGGAGCAGTTGCCAGGGAGCCTGGCTGCCTCCCCTTTGCTGGAAAGAATTCCTGCAACAAAGAGTCAATGCCTGGATTTGCTTTTTCCCTCATCCCGCCAGCCCCTTTTCCTTTTGTGTCATGTCTCTCAAATTATCCATCTGAGGGCCGGGACTATCTTAGTAGATAACCTGAAGAGTGCAACAAAAATGCTAATACTAATTGCAGTAATGCTGCGGGAGGGTGGGGGGGACTCCAGACCTTTTGGGGAAAGGCAGCAAAAGTCCAGGTCTGGCTGTGTGAATTGGGGAGGGAGAGCACCACCTGCCTATCTGTGCCAGACACTGCAAGCCCACAGAAAAAAGCAACATAGTCCAGCAGATGGGTGATTCTGGCAGGAGGAAGGAGAACAGATGGGCCTAGGAACTTCGTGCTGCCAAGCACCAGCTCTCGGGGGAAGCTGGCAGGCAGTAGCACATACACACCTGTTTCAGCCGGTTGATGGTGTCCATGTGTTCCTCTCTGACTCGTTCAATCTTTCGCAGCTCCTCCTTGGTTGCTTCTACTTCTTGGTCCTTCAGCTGCACAGCAGACAAAAGAACAGTAAGTTTGGGCAGGAAAGAAGGTGCCTGAAAGGAAGAACTATACATCTGGTGGTAAATTTGAGTTTTCTAGTACCACATTTGCTGCTGACATGCAAAATTCCTGTGGCTGATGGGAGGAATATGGAGGGGGAGATGCAGCAAGTGGGGGCACATATTTAAACTATTGTCTGTGACCCAGCCATTTCCACCCTATACACACACACGATCAGTAAATCTCTCAAAACTCTGGAGGGAGGCAGGAAATAGAGAAGAAAACTAGCAAGCAGGGGAAGGGTTAACTGCTGCCACCTTGCTGCCACTTCTGCCTTACAAGTGCTCCCCTTTGTAGCTCTGCCACACACTGGCAGCAAACATGGGGATGGGGAAACCCACACAAGCAGCATTAAGACTGTAATGAGAAAAGATCTTTGCCCGATGCTGAGAAGACAACACAGTCCCATCTTGCCAGTTTTAAAAGAATTCCACTGGCTCTCTCTTTATTTCTGAGCACACCCCAAAGTGCTGGCAGCTTAGATCTAAATCCCTAAGCTGGCTCGGGCACCAACTCCTATCTTACCCTGCCTGCAACTTAAAGGCACCTACTGAGGACTTTGAGTGCCTCCACCTTTGAGTCGTCAAACAGAGGGTTTTGGCTGTGGTGCTTCAGTTGTGAAACACTCTCCCCAAGAAAGACCTGCCTGGTGCCAACATTGTTTTCTCTTAGGAGCCAAGCTAAAACTTTTTTTATACATCCAGGCATTCTATGGAAGGTTTCTGATCTTTTATTTCAAAGCAGAGGACCCTGGCCTGCAGGCCAAGTGTCCCACCAGGCTGGCCCAATGCTTGTTTGCTCCCTTAATTTGTGATCTGTTTCAGCACACTGTACTTTAATTTAGTATTATTAAATTATTTGGTATTTTTGCTGTTCCACAGTTGCAAACTGTCCTAAAATTCATTCCTGAAGTAGGGTGGTTTACAAATAATGATTAAACAAGCTCAATTTGCAGAAAATGCTTCTAGGTCAGCCATCTGCATCACCATTCTTTAGGGCAGCGTTCCCAGAGTAATATGCAGACACAGCTGGAAGGCCACAGGCATTCATCACCCCTGACTGACAACCCAAAGAGCAGAATGCTCTACACAATAGGCCCCCACCCCAGATTAACCCTTCTGCAAGCTGCCACCCAAGGGCAGACACAGACGAGGTGCATCAATCAACAGTGCTCTGTGAGAAGGCAGCCTTCCACCAGAGGGCAGCTCCTTGACCAGGGTTCCCAGCAGATCTCTGCCACTTCTCCTGTCATGGAAGACCAGCTTCCCGCCCCAGCATACCTGCAAGTCAGCCATATGCTGCTCCTTGCAGATCCGCATGGCCTCTGCATGCTCCTGCTGGTGCTTCTCGATCAGTTCCTGGGAGACAGGAAGAAACAATCAGGCAAGACAGGAAGGGAACCAAGTTTACAGACTCTCTAGGTCATTCCAGGGGATGCATTTGAACCCAATACGAAGGGTTCGGTACGATGGAGACTCTGATCTCAGGGTGCCACAACAATAGGTGGTAAAGGGAAGGCATTCGTGCCACGTGCTTCCTACTGGGACAGTCACCTCTGCCTCTTTAAGCCGCCGCTCAAACCAGCCCTTGGTGCCATCCATGGACTGTATTTGCAGGCGCAGCTCCTCCACAATTTGCTGCATGGACTCCAGCTCCTGGCTACGAGCCTAAAGCACAGCAGGGAGGGGAAAGAGGCAGGCATTACAAAGTGCGCCGGGAAATGCCGACAAACGAGGGCTCCCTCAGAGAGAGAAGGCTGCTTCTTCTCCAATTGAACAGATGGAGGACAGAGAACGCACCATTCTGAAGTTCTCCACTTTCCACAGCAAAAAGAACCAACCACGGACTGGAGATGCTAATTTCCATGGGGAGACCTGACCTGTGTACAGTGTCCCTCAACCAATACCTTCTCCTCCTTGAGCTGGCCACGCAGCTCATCCTCCTGCCGCTTCTTGTGCTCATGCAGCTCCCGTAACTCCCGCTCGTAGCGTGCCCGCACGGCCAGCACTTCTTTCTCGTGTTGCAGACGGAGGTTTCCCAACTCCTCCTTATGGCGCCCCTTCTCCTGCAGGGTCTCAATGGCCATCTCATCTAGCATGGCCTTCCGCTTCTCTGCTGTCTGGAAAGCAGACACGGGGTCAGCAGAGCAGTTGCCCCACAGCAGGCAGCCTGGCTTACTTAGTCCCCCTGGCACTCAGGAATGCAGCTCAAGATACCCTCCACAGACTATAGCAGGGCCAGCTCTACCATGAGGCTTTGGGGGGCAAAGCCCGAGGAAGCAGAGGCTGGGAGTAGTAACCGCAACTCCTGGTCGGTCCTCCTGAGCCCATGGCTGCTCCTCGCTATGGGACCCCTGAGCTGCCTAAGTCACATGGCCTGTCCTCACTAGCCTGCTGTCAGGGATGGGGGCAGGAGGCTATCCCGCCATCAGTGCTAACCTGTGCTTCAAATGCCTGCCCACTTGGCTTTCCCACATGGAGTGGGGAGGGCTCCCACCCCATTTTTCGCTCTCCAGGTCCTGGGCTAGCCTGAGAGTAGAAGATACTGACAAACAGAAGGTCAACTGAGAAATCCTAGCATGTGAGAAGAAGGTTGTAGGCAACACATGGTTTGTTTATATTTCATTTCTATGCTGCCCACTAGCCAAAACTCTCTGGGTGGTTCACAACAATTTTTCAAACTACAAAAGAGCTGCAATAAAAATATGAGTATAAAATTCCAGTATACAGATTTTAAACATGCTAACACTGCCCAGAAGGTCTTGTTGGGACCATTGGCTGCAGTTTGATAATCAAGTAAATAAATACAATAACATTCTGGTGCACAAAAATGTAAAAGAGTTTAAACATCTAAAGTCATTTCAAGAAATTTAGACCTAATTAAAATGGCTGACATAACCCATCATATACCATTAAATGCAGTTTTGACCTGAGACTGAAAAGACAACAGAGTTGGTCCTAGGTGAGCTTCAGTCCTTGGTGCCACTGGGAGTTTGGCACTACACCTGACTACTGTCACACAGTCCAGAGTCTTGCATTTGTCCAGGTAAAATGGACTAAAAAATAAGAGCCTTCTGCCAGCCCCTGCCTCTCTCTTCACTTACCTTTCTCGCTTCATCAAGATCTTGTAACAATCTCTCCTTCTCCTGCCCAAGTTCTTGGAGCTGCTCCAGTAGACGAGAGTTTGCCCGGAGCGACTCCTAAGACAGAAAGTTAAGATGACTTACGCTGCTGCTCTGTAGGACAACTCCTTCCATTCCCAGCCCACCCTCAAGCAAATGCAGCAATAACAATTTCTCTGAAATGGGGTGGAGAGAGGGGGCAAATCTTACCAATGCTCCAGAAAAAGGACTGGGACCCGGACAGTCACTGGAAGGAATGGTGGGAAGGGGAAGAAGGCTAGGAGAAGAAGCCGGAGGAGGGGAATAGCAAAGAGGTCAAACAACAAGAAAGTGGGGTGACAAGGGGTGCAGAAAACAAAGATGTTGAGGACAGGATGTGATGGGAAGTGAAGGCAGGCTCATGTCACAAAGTTGTACATACTTGCTGCTTCTATCTGAATGACAAAGTTTCTGAAACTGGCACTTTGCATGCTGTGTTAAGGGGGTGGAGAGAAGGAAACACAGTGTGCTAAAAGGTGCTTCCTCCCTTCCTTCCCCTTCTGAATATGCAAAGTGGCCAGCTGGACCCTGCCTGTAGCAGCATCCCAGGAGCAAGCTGCTCAATGGGGAGAAACCCTCCCCCTGCCCCACAAACGTTTGACTTTTCCAAGAATGGCACATCCTGCACCTTGGCCTACCTGCAGCTGTGAGTTGAGGTCATCCCGCCGGGCAGCCAGAACCTCCTTCTCATTCTGACACTGCTGTAGTTCTGCCCCCAATGCTGCCACCTGATCTCGCATCAGATTCATTTCTTGGGTCTTGGATGTCTGGATCTATTGGGCCGGAGGGAAAGAGAGAGGCCTCAGGGCAGACTGTGGAAACCACATGATGCTGTATGCTGTCTGTAACCCTTCCCCATCCAACCCATGGTTAGCATTCTGGGACTTATAGACCTAGAAATGGTTCCAAGAATTTCCCTGCCCCTGAGAATATTCAACCAGGAGCCCAAGCAAAAGCCTAATGCCTCCTGAATATCCTCTGCTTTTCATCCTCTTGGGAAAACTGTCATTCTTCAGCTGTCTGTTCTGAGGAACATTAAGTATAAGTGAAGCACCTGACTTTGCAGACATAATATTTCCAAACTTGAAGCATGCACAGAACTTAATCAAGAATAACAATAACCAGGTTTGCTTTTAACCAGAGTTTCTAAACCAGCTGCAAATTGCAGTGACAGAAGAGTCCTGGTGAGCATTAACCACAGTTAAGGTGCTGCAGACCTACCCCTTGAGCACAGAGCAGCCAAAGGGAAGGGTGGAGACTAGGATAATTGATATTCAAGAAGGGAGAAGCCAGAGATAGGAAGCACATGAAGCTGCAGTCCATTCCAGCTCTCTCAACTGTACTTAGAAATGTGCAAGCATGGCCTCTGCGACAGGCCCAATTACATTTTACCTATAAAAATCAACAACATACGAGAAGTCTTTGAGGTGCCAGTAAATTATTTGACTTTTTTGTTTCTGTTTGCATTTAATTCTATAATCCAGAATGAAGAAGTGGCAAATCAGTTTAACTTGGGCTAGCGTTAGGCGGCCAAGGAAAGGTTTTAGCACCAGCACTGTTTTTATCTGCTTCTCTTGAGCCTTGATACAATGGACAGACAAGAAAGACAATAGAAAGACAAGGCCATTTTCAACTACCCTCTCTAAAAAACCAACCAACCAACCCACCCAGGACAGACATATGCTTGCTGGGCCCACTGAATCAGCCCTCACCTGCAAGGCTAAAGGGATGAAGGGGACTGAAGTGTAAAACAGGTGGAGGAGCATAAGTAGCAGCTTAAACCACTTCACAAACTGCAGAAAGAGGACTTTTTTCTCAAAAGTGCCAAACAGAACTTTCTTTATTTGAATGCAAACACTTCAGAGACTAAAGTGCCTTCCTTCGCCAAGGGCAATCTTCAAATGCTAAAAGCAGGCTAAGCCCCCTTATGAAGGGGGTGGTGATCTTTCATATACCATCTAGGCCCTGAATTCAAATGAAGACGTTCTCCTTTGGCATCTTTTAAGAATACACTCTCTTTCTGCATTTCGTTCCATGTGGGTGCCTTCCCCTGCAGCTTTTGCTTGTGCTTCAGGCAGGCATAGTCATATCAAAACAAACAAGAGACAAAGCAACAATCATGAACAGGCCTCAAATGAAGGGCTCCTCTGCTATTCCCACTACATGGTGTTCACATGCCCATACGTGCTTGTGAGTGAAGAGACAAAGGAGAGCTTTGGGTTGTGTGGGAGTAATGGGTGCCCCCGTTGCAGAGCCTCCACCTCTTACACCGCTGAAAATACCCACAGAGGGCCCATTAACATTAATTGCTCACTATGGCCAAAGACTTCACCATCCAGGCCTCCACCACCATTTGAGCACTTTGCTTCTGTGGAAGGGAGCAGTGTACCTGTTCTAATGCTGCCAGATTGGTTCTCAGAGCATCGTTTTCAGACAGAATGGTCTCAACCTGCTCCTGGCTCTCCGCACTTTGGCAAGCAACCTGATGTGCCCCAAGGCAGAGGAGGGGAGGAAAGGAGCCAGAGAGAAGGGGACACAAGGCAGGAGAAAAAGGAGAGAGAGAAGATTAAAAATACGAAGCAGAACACAAAGGAGGCAGCTAAACCAAGTTTTAAGAAAAAGGAGGATTTCTTTGCTTGGAATCCAAATTTTTGAAAACTGTTATGAATGGCAGTTTAAACAAGACTAACAAAACAAATCTGCACAGTTATTAAGACAAGCCAGGATGATTAAAGGGCCAAAATAAGCACAAAATGTATCTGTTGGGGAGGGTTGCAAAATATACACTTAGACTGGGGAAGGGAAAGCCCGGTAAGAAGGCAAAGGCCTAAGAAAAGAGGTGCAAAAGAGAAACAGGTAGGGAAAGATGTGGGAAGGGCTTGAAGACAGCGCTGCATCCAGGACAGACCTTTGGGGCAGGATTCCAAGGCCCCACTGAGCAGAACGGGGCCCAAGTACAACAAGGCTGGTTTATCTTATTTTGAAAGCTAGTAATCCACATTGCCATCAAAAGACAGAAGGCACCCCCTACCCTGCATAAGATCATTAAGTCCAGAGTCTAAAATGACTTAGCTGAACTGCCTGAGGGTCATGCCGATAAACCACTAGGTCCTCCAGGCACACATTCACCCATGTTGCCTATGGCACTCTAACATTCAAGAGTGAGAGCCACAGAAGACCTGTGTATTAAAGCATGGATGTATTAAACATGGACTGCAAAGGCAGGCTGAGGCCCTGGGCTAACAGGCCAAAAGCTGCCTAGGGTCCCGTGACCTTCAGGCTGCAGAGTTACCTTCAGGCCCAGAAGAGAACAAGAAAGTAGAGGGTGACAAGCAGGCTCAAATAAGCCAGACCAAGTAGTATATACTTCGGTATTTGCGTTTTACTTTCTCTTGAGCAAGGGAGCTGCGCTTTCTACTTGCTGTTTTGAGTATAGCAATTTCCCATGCCAGAGACTGGCATGATAGGGCTCATGCTGAGGCCCACACCAGGAGGGAACAACCTCAGGTGGAAAGGAATCAAGTACCAACAAGAGGATCTGAGGTGGACCACTATGCAGATCTAGTCCAGTTACAGAACTCAGCTTTCTTGGCATAGAATTTGGTTACAACTTATAGAGCACAATATGTAAAGCTCGACTCACTATTCAAAAGAATGGGAAAACACACTCACACTACTTTTGGTGGGAGGGTTATGGAAAGGACGGACGGACTGTATTTTGCAGATTGCAAAAGGGAAGCAGTGAAAGCCAATGTGATAAAAGAAATGCTTCCCATCAGAACCCCACGATTCATACAGCACCAAATGGTGACCAAAAGGAAACGGAAACTATAACATTTAAGAGACAATCCCCATGCCTATATGTATCACTAATCAATTTAACTAATTCAGTTCACAGAACTGATATATCTATATACCCCCTTTTAGGAGAACAGCTTACTAGACACGAATCAACCACATTGACCTTAGTAGGAGCTCAGTGCTAAACCACCAGCACCCTGATATTGATGGCTGGGCAGCAGGCCAGTAGCTCTCCACCTGCTGAGAGAAGGGCCAGTGGTGCAGGTTTTGGACAAAGCTCCCATTGTGTCTGGGCAGGTATAAAGCCACCCTGGGAGAAAGCCCCCAACAGGGCAATCTGTGGACAGGGGAGGGGCCAAGACCATCCTTGCACTGCAAGCTCCTTCAAAGTGTTACACTGAACCTGCTGCAGCCAGTTCTCCCTCCCCACCTGCAGTCAAAGGGGGGAAGAGTGTAAATTCACAGTTTTACAGGGTAATTCTCCACTTCTACCCTGGTCAGCTCAGGCACAGTAGATCTGCCACATTGCTCCCCACCCACCGCCATTCCGCTGAACACTGCATGATCAATAAAAATACTAAAATCACAATGTAACAAAAAGAACACTGTTCATCTAAAAGGTTTTCCATCAGAACACATACCAGCACACCCGGGTTTAAATTCATCATAAAACAAAGGGGTTTTCAAAGCACACTTGAACACAGAATGAGAGAGGCCTTGCTAGATTTCCCCAGGGAAAGATTTTAAAAATCCTGCATGTCACTGCAAAAAAAGGCCTTTTCTGAGCATGACTGAGGACTATTTCAGTATAAGTGAAAAGCCCACCCTTGTGATATGAACATTTTTATCAGTCAGACATCACAATCCATTCAGAAGAACATGCTGTGGACATGAAGGGTAAGAAGTTCCCTTTCCAAACTTGAAAGAGGAAAAGGAAAGGAGTATGATAAATAAAGAAAAATTACAGCAGGAACATTGATGTGGACAGAGCCTGGATGGAGCTTGGAGAAGATGTGTGAAGTGAGGCCTTTGCATCTCTATCACACTGTCCCCACATTGGGACAAGTAGGATCATCCTATTTTATTTGCACCCTTTTAGGTCAGGGAGGAATTATAAGACACACATGGAACCTTCAACAAAATGCTGCCACACAAATTGTTCCTGTTCACTGCTCTAGCCCTCTCAAGAATTCAACCAAAATTCTGGATATGATAAACAGGGACATCCTCTTTGGAGTTCAAGCAAAGGAGAGCAGGACGCAGTGTGGGGAGAGAGGATGAAAACATCTCCTAAAGGATATTTTGGACCAGATGAACTGGGTTCACTTGCAGACATCTCAGGGATTCGCTGATAATAAAATAGGCTCCTTTGTTCTTGCCTTGCTGTTGCTCTGATGAAAAATCACTTCAAAAACAGGTATCAATTGTGTAGATCATGAGTCCTCAAACTACAGCCTGGGGGCCGGATCCGGCCCACCATGCCCATTTGGACTCGCCACCACCCACTCGCCCTGTGTGCAGGGAGGCAGTGGTTTGCTCACTCGCAGAAAGTGATCACCAGGCAAGCAAGCCACTGCCTCGTGCAACTGCTTCGCAGTGCGCGCCTACCCCCGCCCACACCTCGCCTCCCCTTGCCTCGCCACGTGCCCCACTCCCGCCTCAGTGCGCACACCCGCATGCACTGCCCCACCCCCGCCCTGCATGCACCACCAGCACCACCTTTCCGGCCCATGCCCAGCACTGGCAGCTTTCAACTGGCCCCCTGGTGGAAAAGTTTGAGGACCCCTGGTGCAGATGGTTGAATGCTCTGAGCTGCATTGTCCTTTAAGCACTTGAGACTGGAGAAAGGCAGTGGAGAAAGCCAATGCCTTTTCTATAGCCCTCTGGGTGGAAAGCCCTTCTCACATATTGTGTAACCTCAAGAACTGAAATTATGACTTCCCTTCCTACCTGGAGCCAGGAAAAAGGGATGTGGAGTGGGTGGACTCATATCTCAACAAGGCTTCTTTTTGGGGTGTCTATTGATCAAGTATTACATTCCTTTGCTTCTTCTGTATCATGCTGGCCAGCAACCCTGCAGATTTTGTCTCTCCCTTTTGCAGCAGATGCCTTGGTTGATTTGCTCTGCTCAGCCAGACGTCTTCGCTCTGCAGACAGGTTTTGAATGCTTTTGTATTCTGATATGTAACAATGTGGGGCTTAAATCATAGGGGCCCACTTGTAGAGTGGAATTGCTGGCATTATGAAGACTGGCTGTAGCACTTTTCAGCCCACAGACAGAATTCCATTCTGGAGAAGCTCCAGAATGGGGGCGGCATTCCACTGGCGAGCAGGGACAAAAGCAAAAAGGCTGGACAAAAGTGCTTTATCTTAAAGCGCTTCTGGCTAGTAATTAAGCTCTAGGAGAGGCATTTCAGCTTTTCCGTATGGGGAAAACTGTATAAAAGCAGGGAAAACACTAAGTAATCAGTGGTTGGGAGGAGTGGATTGGGCATCTAGGGAATCCTGGCTGGCCAGACTGGGACCCACAATAGGCCAGACCTGTCTCCCAGACCTGATATTCTTCAACCCTGTAGTACAGATTTGGCCTCCATATTCTTCTGACCCATTATTGTGTACTCACTCAATAGTCATATCCTCCCATGGTTCAGCCGTATGTTGAAATTTATTCACTCTAGTCATGATTGGAGCTGAACACTTTTTAAAAATGCAGGGAAAATACTGAAAGGCACTCTTTTCTATACCTAAAAGTTGCAAGTGTGAGAGGAAAGGAGCTTCCCAGTCTTAGAAGCACACTCCTATGCTTGTGCATTATGCCAATAAAGGTTTTTACTACTATGCTTGTGCACAAGTCACAGCTCACAACTGGAGTAAAGAAAGCCTAAGGCAGGGACTCATGCAGAGAAACAATGGGAAGCTTCCTCTAGAAGTAGGTAATTTTCTATGTCTCTGCACTGAAAATGATGCAGAGGTACAGCAAGGTTACTTGCCCCCCACTGAGGCAGATGCCTCCAGCATTGCCTCCTACTCATGCAGAGATGCAGTGGATTGCCTCCTTTGCAGGCAGACGCTTTGGTTTTACAATAGCCTTCAATTATTTAAATTGACCTCTCACAACACACTAACAATTCTCTTGGCATGTAGTCTGGAAATTCAGCACAACATCTTAGAAAAGAAAGGTGAATATTTTGGAACCTAGATTTCTAACTGCTGGTCTCCCTTTACAAAGAACTCCCAAATTCCAGACATACAGGGAAGCATTGCAGTACAATCTGTACATGTTAACTCAGAAGTAACCTCTACCCATTTCAACCAGGCTGATTCCCAAGTTAATATGCACAGGACTCTACCCCGTATCCTATCCAAAGAAGGAGTAAAATGAATCCAGACTTATTTTATAAAGTACACAACAGGTCACACTACTGCATATATTTGGAGGAATATCTGGAAAAGGCAGGTACGCATAACATGTGACAGATCAAATAAAGAATGTAAGCATCAAAAATGGGGGTGGGGTGGGGAGAGAACAAAAGAAGAAAGTCAATGGTGTAATGCATTGAATTAAGCAAAACAAAGGGCAGAGAAATAACTTTGTGGAAACAGCAGGACTTCATGTTGTCAACACACCCAGATGAACCTCAAGCCAGGCATCTCAAAGAACCAACATGGGTGGGTTGAATTAACATGACAATTAACCAAGTTATTTGCCCTGCCTGCTATAGGGTTTCACATTCCCCAGGTGTGTGGGAATGGGTAGAGAATTCTATTTAAGAAGCAACATGTTTCTGGACCGTATGACTGTGAAAGTGTGTTTGCAGTACCTTTTGCACTCTCAAAAACCAGAGGAATGGCTCCATCAAGTTTTTGATGCTTGGGGTAAGACAGAGTCATTTTTTTCCCTCCCCAGGCAAGCAGAGCCAGAGTGATATAAAATAGAGGATGCTTAAGCAGAGGTCACAGAACTCCACTATTCTGGGTTTCCTCCTTTAGAGTTCACACAGCCTTGTCCATAAGGCAACAGGCACATAGAGAGATGAAATACTTCACACAGACTCACAATAGAAAGATGCATGCCTTGTCATCACATTACAGCTTGATACAGGCTAGTTTTTCAATGAAGGGACCTTTCCGTGTGTAGGACAGGGGCAAGAGGGGCAACTCACTTGGTCCTGCAGAGCCTGCAGGGCTACTTCATGCTCTTTCCGACGGTTCTGCAGCTGGTCCTTTAATTCAGAGAAGCCCTGCAGGGGAAGGAACAAGTTTATTGTGGAGTAAAGTGCAGGGGGAAGATTTCACTAGCACACTAAACTCTATTACAAGCAGAGAGAATAATGTCAGCAAGAGCAGTCAGTAGGAAACCGTCCCAGAACTGACAAGAGGTAGAGCATGGATGGTAGCTTCTACCTTTAATTTTAATTCTTTAAAGGTTGTCCTCTGGCACAGGCAACAGTGTGCCTGTTATCACCAGGAACATCTATGCTGCATCCGATTTTAACTGGATGGAGAGATGGGGCTTATTTCTCTCAAAAGGCAGAATTCCCAGTAAGAAAGTGCAAGCTAAACAAGAGAAGGAGAGAGGTTGGAAGGTGGCACAGAAATGTCAAGGTGAATGAGCGAGATTTCTCAGGCAGCTGCTGAAAACCAAACTGCTTTGGATTTTATGGGAGATACTGTGGAACAGGGAGGATCTGAGGAGGGGGTGTGTGAATTCTTTAACCCATTGAGCCAGCAACAAACCGAATAAGCTGATCAATTAAGTAACATCCAGTGTTCCCAACATTTGGCCCACAAGCAGCATGGGCCTCCCTCAGGGTAGAGTCAAGCTGTTTGGGAAAGGAAGGCATCTTCAGGTTCAATTCAGCTTTCACATGGATAAGAGCTACTCCCACAAGCTGGAAGGATTGTTACTTTGATTGAGGTCACTGAAGAACAACTGTCTTATGAAGTGCTCTGTATCACAAAACCCCGCCCAGTGCAGATAAAGGACTGCATTTCAGATCTTTTGTCTAGATCTGCTGGAAAAGGAAAAGAGGAGCTCACAACAGCATTGTGGCTTTCTCCCAAGGAATTCTGGGAACTACAGCTTTCTCAGGGGCTAAAAACAGTCTGCTGGAGAGCCTCATTTACCTCAAAGAATGACAATTTTCAGATTTTCTTGGGAGATGCCATGGTAGTCAACTAGAGCCTTTAACCATGCTAGGCCGCAAATATTCCCATAATACAAAATATACAATGTATGAAGATAGTGAGAGATGGGTTAGGAGCTAAGCTTTGAACCAAGGGTTACCATGTAAAAAAACAAAGACCTGATCAAGAGGCTTTCCTGTCCAAGAGGCAAAGTTCTTAGGCATGATTTCTGACCTACAAGGATCAGACCAGGTCACCCTGTGCTCCTCGAAGACAGAGTCAGAACCTTTCCCAGTTGAGAAATGAGTCCCTGACCTGGTTTGCTGTCTGCAGCTCTTGCTGGAGTTTCTGGTTGCGAACCTGCAGGGATTTGAGCTCCTCTTCCTTCCGCTGTTGGATCTCTTCAATTTTTGTCCTGCAACATGGGAACCAGATCTTGTTCACAGAGAGGGGACACCAAGATGTGGTACTTTGGTTCCTAGGTCATTTCTAGGTCCTCCGAGCCTTGGCACTGCAGCCTGATTATTCTCAAAGCTATTTCAAGCTCTCTCTCTTTGTGGTTAATACCCCTGACAGTATTTCCTCCCCTGTACCGTCTTCCTTCTGCTCAAAGTTTCCTCTCCACTTTCCTTCTATGATTTCAGCAATACTATTTCTAGCACATCAAATATTCCTTGATACACACTACTCCTCAGCACCCACATATTTAGCATAATTTTCCCTGATCCACTTAACACCCCATATCCAGAGATGAACATGCCAAGAAAACACAACACTCTTGGTAGGAATCTGCATCCAGGCAGTGCGAACCTTACAGCAAGAAAAAGTGGCTCAGGTAACTGATCTAAATTGTGCATGTTTCCACACTTTTTTTTTTTTTGCAATTTGCATCACTTTCTGGATTTGCTAGTCTAGGGGACAGGAGATCAGCACAGCATGTCGAAGATCCATGCTAAATCATGGGGACTCCAAGGCCTATGCTAAGTACTTCTGCTTTTAACAGATAGGTTTTCAAAAATGCAAACAGGGAAAGGCAGTGGGGGGATTCTTCCCAGCACGATCCATGGTCTGACTTTTGCTCACAAGCGAATGAACTTCCTCTGCGGCAACAGCCCAGACTGTGCAACTCCCACCCCAAGAGTTTCAGCCAGTTCACCATCCAAGTTTGAAAAGTGCACTTTGTTTAAGCAAGCATTTGGCATGCCTTGCTGATTCTTGTAGTCTGCAAACCTTCACATGTTTAGACAGAAAGCAAGCACAGGATTGCACCCTTTGTCTATTATATTGCTTTACTCTGCTGATTTTGATTTGGTGCACATATCACAACAATCCAGAGTACAGGTTGAGTATGAGTTGTTATTATGTGCAAACCCTATGGTTTAATGATAGGTTGTTAACTATGAATGACTCAGGAAGACAATGCTTGGTTTGCTGCTAGGCTGTGAATTCTACATTTTTCATGGTTAGTGGTTTATAGTTAAACCACAGTGCAGGGTTAGCAATGTAACAACAACCAAAATTCAAAAATACCCATGATTTAATGTCAACCCACACTCCACCTATACTCCAGGCTATCATTTCATGCAAACCAGGTCACTGTTTTACAGCTTTCCCCAATCTGGCACCCTGTAGATTTAGTCAGCTTCAACTCCCATTAGCTTCAGCCATTGCGGCGAATGGTTAAGAATTCTGGAAATTGCAGTCCAAATCATCTGTAGGGCACAAGGCAGGGGAAGGTTGTCATAAATAAGCTGAATGCATTCTTTGTACTGCTTTAAGCATCTTTGTAAGCTGCCTTGAGCTTCCTTTAAGAGTGAAAAAGACATATAACAACTGGGTATATTAAGAATACAATGTGTGCATGTTATTGGGAGTCAGGGATTGCCTCTAGTTGTCCTTCATGACCCTAAGAAGAAGGAGACATTCCTTGGAGTGCCCTGAAGCTTTCTGCACACCTGGCAGGCTTTGCTCCAGCCCATGAAATGCAGTCCATTCTGAACTATCATATCGACTGGGCTGCCTGGGTAATCCTTCTCGGGTTCACCCCACCAGGCCTGATGCCAAAGGTGCTGAACCTCTTTCAGCCCAAGGTCCAAATTCCATTAAGGAAGCCCCCAAGGGTCACGGTCCAGTGGTGGGTGGGGCCAAGGTCAAAAGGGGTGGGACCAAAAATGCCAGCACATTCTAGTGTAAAGTTCTTTCTGCCAGTAACTTAAGCCTGAGGGAAAATACCATGCAGAAGACAGGAAAGGGACAAACAACTTGGTGGCTGGAGGAAAGGGTCTGGCCCCTGCAGGTTCAGATTCAAGCCAGGGCCCAGAGGCTTAACCCTTCTGGATTTATGTCATGCTGGCACAGGCTGCTGGCTGGGAGTGTGGCACTGGCATGGACCTTCAGCTCCCCATTTGACTGATCCTGGTTTACCATCAGTGCTGCTGCTGCCGCCACCAGAAGACCCAGCTAACTTGGAAAAGCCCTCTTGCCTTCCTCCATCCCAGTCCAGCCATTTCTCCCAGGGGCTTGTCTGAATTCTGCACTGAGCACAGCAGTGGGTAAGTGAGTGCTCAGACTGAAGTTTAAACAAGCCAGTCGCCTACCTGCTGTCATTGTAGAGAGCTTCTTTTTCTGTCTGAAGACGCAGAAAGCTAAGAGAAGGAGGCAAGGCAGAGGAAAAATAATGCAAACAAACCCAAACCCCAAAACTTAGAAGTTTTGATTAGAATTAGAGATTAGAATTCATGATGCAAATGAACTGCACGGCCTCACAGTGGCTTAATTTGCATGGATTTATTTTGTTCCATGAGGCTGACGTTTTCAATGAATTTCAGGAGAGGCCTGTCTCTGTCCCCTTTTATATACTCTCTGCTGACTGATAAAAACAGAGGGACATTTGGAATAGGGTGCTTTGTTTCTGGTTAGTTCCCATACACATCATTCTTAGCCTAGTTTAGGATGGGCCTGAGGAAAGACGAACAGGCCTTACTGTCCTGTCCTCCACCCCTGTCCTCACCTAGAGGGCAACAGGCTACTCACATCAATTCCTCCTCCTCTTTCAACTCCTGGCCTCTTCTGGACTAGAGCGTGCCACAGGCTCCTTCGCCCTTGCTCTGCCTCGGCTTGCTTTATGCAGCTTCCCAGCCACACCAGGTGCCTGGCCTTGTTCATTTATCAGGCCACCATCCAACTCAGAATAGCCAGCCCTCCTGCAGCCTGCAGTCTCTGGGGAGGGGCTGTGCTCCCCGCCTCACTCAGCACTTCACCACCCTCGACCATTCCTATCCAACACTCCATTTCCTTATCTATGGGCTTTTCCCGGCAGTGGGTGCCCTCTGAAAATCTAAGAGAGCCATTGGTGATTGGTATAAGATGCCTTGGGCAAACATTTCTTCAAAAATGCTGCATGATAAAGAAAAAAAAATCTACTAAATCATAAGGACTATCAACATGCTTTTTATAAAAACCAATGCAGAACAGTTGCAGCATACTGGAAGCATATGGACCAGATGTAGTCGTTCCTTTCCACCCTCCCAGGGTGCCAAACCTCTGTTATACATTCCTTAGCTAAATCAAGCAGGAAATTTAGCCTGCTAGTAGAAAAAAATCCCACGCACCCCACTAGTAGAGTCCATTCCTCCTCAGACTTACCTCTCCTGTTTCTTCTTTAGCTTCTCTGCAAGCTGCATGGGAGAGAAGTGGCTGTGAGGACCTCTGGCAACCGCAATCACCCCACCACTGTCCTTGCCCAAAGAAGAGTGTGGGGGGAGGGGGCAGAGACACCCACCCAGGCTTCTCCTTACCTTGCTGAGTTCTTGCTGCAAATGGGACATTTCTATTGTCTTAGATGCCTATAGGAGGGGGAAGCAGAAACAAACACAGACGTTTATCTCAGGCACTCAGAGTGCTGCACAGTTTTTCAGTAGTCTTCAACAATTCTATCACACAGGATCTTAGGACAAGACCTGGATGTTTTTTGCAGTGGCAAAGATAAGAGAGCGCCAAAGCTTATGCTCTCTCTCTGCCAAGAAATTGGGGCAGGCTTAGGGCCTACACTAGGGTTGTTGAAGCTATTCTTTTCCGAATGAAAACAAGTAATCCTCTTCTGGATTTTTTTTTAAATCCCCACAGAGCACAGGATGTGGCGATACAGATTTGTGAGGGGAACCTCTCCTCCACTGGAAGGGATGTCCCATCCTCCAGGAGCTTCCTGCAACCTGTCTCCAACCTCTTCTCAACCATATCGACAGTGGCCATTTTACTAGTAATACTGTTATTATTACATTATATTTTATTACTGCTTGTAGCTGAAGATCTCTGGGGGTTCACAACATTTAAGTCACCCATCCAGATGTCAACCAGGCCTGACCCTGCTTAGCTTTCACAATTAGGCAGGGTGAAACACTTCAGGCTATACAGAAGCTAAAGGCACTCCATGGAGTGAACAATTTATGGTCCTCCAGATATTTTGGCCAGGAACTCCTATCATCCTTCAATATTGGTCATGCTGGTTAGAACTGATGGGAATAGTAGGCCAAAATAGCTAAAGGACCACAAGTTTTCCATCTCTGCAATACATATTCTCCAGGAAACTCAACACAACTCTATGCAACAGGTAAAGAGGATCATCTCCATACTACCAACAGGGGATGAAGAGCAAAAGACCAGCAGCCACCTAAACTGTTCACTGCTGAGTGAAGATTCGGAACAGGGACTTCCTGGCTTACTGCTCATCCTCTTAACCAAACCAGCTCTCCACAAGCGTACAGGCCCGGAGCATGCAGGCCTTGTCACTATGGCAACAGTGGGGAAGTTGCATCCCCAGAACAGTACTAGAGAGTCCCTGGCCCTTCACTGGGCAGCACCCACATTCCTAGGTTCCACAAGGAGCTGGGCAGGAAGGAAGAAGTGAGCACATGTTGGGAGAGGACCACAGAAGGACCTGAGCAGCCTTCCCCACCTGGTGCCCTCCAGAAGTTTTGGACTTCAACTCCCAGAAGCTGAGCCAAGACAACCAATGGACCAGGGATTCTGGGAGCTGTAGTTCAGGCATCTGGAGAGCACCAGGTTGGAGAAAGCAACTCAGCCACAAACAGATCCCCTGAAGCTCAGGAAGGAGGAATCGGGGGTGGAAAGGGGCTGCAGCTTCGCCTCTTTCCTTGGCTGAGCCATGAAAAGCCCTGGCCCTGGAACCTGAGGCTCCAAAGCTGCCCTGCCCAGCTCCCACATAGACCCTCAGGAAGATACCTGGGAACACAATTTGCATGCTATTTGAATTCTGAAGTGTGTACAGAGCACCCCACCCCACCCCAACACAATCCCCCACAGTGCTGTTGACCAACTGAGGCTACAAGGCTGGGCTGGCAGCCAACGTTCTCCTGAGAAAAGCCATCCTCAAGGCAACCCCACTCACCTCGAGGCTCTGCAGCTGCTCCTTCAGAAGGATTTTCTCCTCTTGCTCCATCTGCCACTTCAGTTCCACCTCTGACAGCCGCTGCTGGGCGATGCTGCTGCTATCAGGCACCTGGGCCTCTGAATCCTCTGGCCTGGCACGGTTGGGCTCCATGGAGCCATTGCCCTTCCCACTGCCTCGGTTTTCTGCCTGCCGGGCCAATTCCTTCTCATAGCGCTCCTGTAGAGCTGAAGAAGAGCGGTCAACCACTCCTAACTGCACTGACTGAGTGGGGCAACCGGAGGCAGGGGCAGGTCAGTCTCCAGACCTTTTGGACATTCAACTCCCAGAAGCATGGGCAATGGTCAGGAATGCTGGGAGTTGAAGTCCTACTTTCAGTGCCTCCCCTGCACTACACCCAAAGAAGGGGACCCACAGGCCCATCCTGGTCTCCATCAAGTTTTCTCCCACATTCTTTTAAATCATGATTTAAAATCTGTGCTTGTGGGGCCATCTGTGACACAGGCCCATCCAAGTCAGCTGTGGCAGGATCTGAATGCCCCAGAGTTGTTCCTTTCACCTCTGGCAGAAGGGGGAAGGAATACACTTCACTGCTCATGTTTTACACAGTCCTCCTTTCAGAGCCATGGCCACACAGAGCGGCATCATAAATCGCTCCTCAGAATCCGCTTGAGCTTCCCCGATTTCCACCTCCCAACAGCCCCTCGGAAAGGAAGCAGGAAGAGGCTGCTGCAGGCTGAGTTCCAACTCCAGAAAAAGGCCCTTGAATGAACTCCTCCTGCCCGCGAGAGCTTTCTCTTGCTCCTGGCCTTGCGCGGCTCCGGCCTTCCCCCTTCTGTATCCAACCGGACTGGTGGGCCTGTTCTCTACTTGCTGGCACAAGGCTTATTTTTCGATCCAGTCCCCACCACCTACACATCCCAGCCTGCTGTGGACATGCGCAATGTGATGCAGGCACACCACAAAATGTGCAGGGCTCCATAGGCAAAGAACTCTTCAAGCCACTGCTCGTCAGGAGAGGCTCTTCAGCTTGCACTCTAAGTTCTACGGCAAAAGAGTACAATTCCTTTCAGCCAGAGAGCCAAATTCCATTTCACGCTTGGAGGCCACACTCCCAAGGTGGGTGGGCCCAAAGGCAAAGGGAGCTGGGACCAAAATATCAGCATAGGTTAGCTTCAGGTTCTTACCACCAGTAACTAAACCTTGGAAGAGGCATGTCAATCTTTTAAAGAGTGGGGGTCAGGACCATACCAAAGCTAGGAAACCACAAAACAATCACTGATTGTGTGTGTGGGGGGGTGCCTTTGGGGTCCGATTTGTTCCCAGAGCCTGAGGTTCTGTACACCTGCAAAAGACAAAAAACCTCTCCCTGCAATTCCCTGCCTGGAACCAGGGCTCCACTCATACATGGCTAACCCAGATATTCTCTATGGTCCCCTTCTTCAACAGTCTTCCCCTGTGTCTGACCTGAGCCATCTCACAGGCTTCCCATTTTAACCCGAGTCCAGCTCAGCCCAGCTTAGTACCTGCCATGTTCTTCTGCAGTGCAGCGTTCTCCGCCTGCAGCCTCAACAGCTCCCCATCCACAGGACTGGCCGGGGACACACCTTCAGCGGTGGAGGCCTCCCCTTCCCGGAGACACTTGTTCTCCTTCTCCAGCTGCTCGATCTGGGAGCACAGCTGGAGTGGAAAGACCAGAGGGTTACTTTCAGCACCAGCAGCCTTCTATCTCAGTCAACAAACTTGAGGAGAAATACAGGTGTGAGGGGTTATCCATCATGGCAGAAATGAGCACACGGATCTTCCTCCCAGAAGGAAAAATTCCCTATGTGCTTCACACAAATGCTTGTAGTGCTCTTTTATTTTCGACCATTCTTTGGAGGGGTGCAAGCGACAGGGGTGGTCTCCTTCCTCATGCAAGAGTCTCAGCTTTATATGGATGGAAGCAACACATTGATTGCTTCAAATTCCTGGGGATAAGATTCTGTCCCTATTATCCAAAATACAATTAAGTACACAGAGAGTTGCTGCTTGCAAGGATCCTGCCACATAGAAAATAATGTTATAACACAATTGGGATTGCCCTTCTGACATATTGATTTTATTATAGTTTTATCCTGCTTTTTTCCTCCATTTTATCCTCACATTTTATTTTATCCCTGTGAGGTAGGTCAGGATGAGCATCTTCAACTTGCCCAAAGCTTCCAGTGAGCTTTATGGCTAAGTGGGGACCAGAATCTGAATCTCCCAGTTCTGTGTACTGGGGCTGGGAAGGGGAAAAGCTTGCAGTGATGATACTGACTGATGAGACCACTCAGGTGGGGTGGTCAAGGAGACCTAACCCTAACCCTTCACAAGCCCAAAGGGAGCCAAGCCACCAGAGACAGGAAACTTGAAGTCCGGCCCTGTGGCACGCTTGTCCCGCTCTACAGCTGCTCTCTCACTTTGGCTCGCTCTGATGCCCCAGAGAAAAAGGGAGGAAAATAGCCAGAGCTTATGGGAGGTGAAAGATCCCTTTGTGACTGCAGCGGAGGGCACCAGATTGGAGCGATGGCATCATAGGCACAGCTGGCCCACTCCGTTCTGCCACCAGCGTAGCACTCACGCCCCCAGACCAGGCTTTGGAGACCTTGTCCGAAGGCCGCCTGGCGCGGCGGACCTGCCCTCTGCCAAAAGCCACCGCAGGCCACACAGCACCATCTAGCAGGCTGCTGGTGCCACTGCAGCAGCATCTCGAGCTGCATCTCCAGTACCTTGGAGAGCTCCTGCATGAGGGTGCTGTTTTGCAGCCTGAAGTCATCTTCCTGGCTGTGCAGTTTTCCCTGAAGCATTTCATTTTCACTAAGCAGGGCATCCACCTCCTGGGGGACAGGGGAAGGAGGGGGAGAGGAGAAGGGAAGGAGGGGAGAGCGAGAGAGAGTCAAAATCTATTATTTGGGAAGAGGTATCATCCATGCATTCCACCAGGAAGTGGCTCCGAACTCCCAAGCAGGGTAGAGCCTGGGGCCCTACAATAATAGGAAATGTCCTCCCCAGCCACCTCCGACTCTCCCCTGGTGCACCGCAACACAGAGCAAAACTACAGAATTTGCTGCCACAGGAAGTGCTGATGGCCACCAATCTGGATGGCTTTAAAAGGGGACTGGAGAGATTCATGACAGGGTAGGTTGTCAGTGGCTTACGAGTTGTGTGCTACCTCCATTACAGTTGCTGAGGAGCTTGGGCAGGAGGAGGTCTTGCATCCACCCTGCTTGAGTGATTCCATGTGAAGCTGTTTTGCCATGGTGTGTTCAGTATGCTGGACCAGATGGACAACAGCATGGCTTCTCTTGTGTTCTAAGTGGTACTTTATGGCAGAGGGACACCTGGGAGTTATGGGAGCTGGAAGGAGAGCTGCTGAATTGGGAGAAGGTTGAAGAGAGCCCCCTTCTACATTTAGCGCAAAGGCACAGAACTCGAGCCCTCCAGGGCTCTCAGAAGGCCCTTCTGCCCCTTCCCTCAACTGAAGACCCCTTTGCAATTTCCTGGTTTTTGTGTAGTTCCCCCGCAATTCAAAAGGGCTGATATGCCTTTCTTAAGGTTCATTTCCTAGCACTAGAAGTTTTATGTGAAAATACGCTGGTCCTTTGGCCCTGCCCATGAGTGGAATACAGCCCCAAACAGCTTCTCCAAAATAGATCTATCTATAGTTACCAGCTCCGCCCCCCTTTTTTTTTTCCTGTGGGCAGGGCCGCGATCTTGAGTGGAAAGCAGCTGGTTAGGAATCAAGTCTGTCCCCACTCTGGGTTATCAAAACTCCCTCTGTGTGAAAAGATGGTACATCACCCAGGAGAAGGAAAGGAGGCCTTGTAGACAGGTAGGAGATGAAAAAGGAGGGAGAAAACAGGCGATAATGGGAGACATGGTACCAGCTGAGGCAGGATGGCAATGATAGTAAAAAGCATCATACAAGGAGCCTTACCTGAGCCTTTTTGCTCTTACTCAGAGCCTGCGAAAGAAAGATACAAGTTACTAATGCTGCAGTGAGGGGAGGGGAGCAGGAAGAGAGGGACAAAACTGCTATTCTTCTACCCCACAATCAGCTGTACCTAAGGGCTTGTATAGGGCTGCTGGATCTTGTGGATCTCTTGAAGTCTTACGGGTAGGTAAAATCCATCCAGCATGGTAAAAAAATCATTCTCTCCTTGCAACTTTTAAGATGCAGAAATGGGATTCTATCATGGGAAAGGGCCACACAGTTATTTCACGGCATTCTTGCTTGGAAAATTTTCAGTCTTGAGAACAGAAGGACCAACCCTGACATCAAGGCAGGTCTGATGTAGCCTCACCTTTGAAGTTTCAATGGTAGGGGAACAATAATTTCCAGGACAAGAGTCCTCCTTGGGCCCAATGAGCTGCCTTTCAGATTCTTCCACCAAGACCACCAAAAGGGGAGGAACACTATCCACCCAGCACACACATCCACACACAGATCCTATTCCACTAAAGAAAATCAATTTACCTTCTGAGCCTTGGCAAACTCCTTATCCAAAACGGTCACTCGTTGTCGAAGACAATTTAATTCTAAAAACAAAGTGATGAAAATTGTGAAAATAATTTAAAAGTGGGGATGTTCTTCTGTCTTTCTATGTATGTACAACATGACTTTAAATATTGGGACCTGACAAATAAGGCTTTAGAATCTCAACTATATGCACAGGTTTCTAGTACTCATAGCAGTCTGTCAAAAGCTACAGTGTTTAAAAAGCTCTGTGTGTAGGGCTTTCCTGGACATAAGAAATGACACATACATTGAGAATGGTTTGGGAATTGCAAACACATGCAAACAAGACTGTCAGGGAGATGTCACTCAAGGTGAGAGGAGCAAAAAGACTATAGGTCAGAGGCAGGGCAAATGCAGATCTTCAGGAGTTTTGGACTTCAATTTCCAGAAGCCCCTCTCACCACTCTCATGAATGCCAGAAAGTGATGGGTAATATCTAAAGTTAGTCCTGCACAGAGCAAAGGACTTACATTCATTCAGCAGGCCTGCTCTAGATTGGATACTACCCCAAATTCAAACCATCTGGAGATCTACTTCCTGCCCACCTCTCCTCTGGGCCTTCTGAATGTACACAGTAGGCACATTCAGGAAGGGAGGGAGAAATGGCCAGAGGAGGGAGGAAGAGAAGGAGAGCAGAAAGGGCTGTCAGTGAAGGATGGCCAATGTGAACCCACTTCCTCTCAAAGTTTAGTGTGGGGGGTGGAGAAGATGTTTTGCAACTCCTCTCTCCCTTATTAGAGGATCAGGGAAAATGACTGGGGAGCCCCCAGGCCCTGCACAAATCACTCTGCTTTTGCAAGTCATGAGGAGGAGGAGGAGGAGGAGGAGGAGGAGGAGGAGGAGGAGCTAAAGAAGGCCTGGAGGCCCCCAGCCCTCTAACCACAAAACCCTGATTTGGCAACTTGCCCAGCTTCTAAGATGTCAGATCAAGCCCCACCCACAGGCTTTCAATTGTATTTCTCATAATTGTAAGGGCTAGAAAGCTGGGCTGTGCTTTTGAAGGAAAGCCACATTCTATCACATCCTCATTTATGGCCCCTTGGCAAAATTCAGGCACCAGCTTTGCATGCACCTTAACAGCCACTCCTACCCATTACTTTCCTTGGCCACCACTACCACTCCTGTTCTTTACTTTCCAGATTCTGCAGCGCCTTTGTTATTGGATGCAGACAGAGCAAGCATCCATGAGAAGAGGCCAGAGCTCAGTGGCAGAGCACCAGCTGGACCTGTGGAAGGTTCCGTGATCGATCCCCCATACCTCCAAGCAGGGCTGGAGAAACTCTGCCTGCAATGCTGGAGAGCTGCTGCCAGTGTAGTGGGTGAGAAGGAGCAAGGGCCCAACCTGGCCTAAAGCAATTTCCTATGTTCCTAATCCTAGGCAAATATAAGCAGTTAAGAATAGTCAGGACTAAGAGGGAGTACGATACTTTGGTGTTTGTTGAAGAAAAGGAGAAATCATCTATATTTTGCACCACAGTGAGCCAGCAATGCATGGCCTTCCAGATGTTTTGGCCCACATCATCACCATGGGCTGATGGGAGTTGTAGACCAAAGCAGCCTGCAGGCCACAAGCTGCCTATTCTTACCAGTGTAGGAAAGTCTGAAAGTCTCAAGAGAAGTCTGAGAAAGGCCTCCCTTCTTACCAGCAGTATTCTTGCGGAGTTCATCGGAGAGCTGATAATTTTGTGTCCGAAGTTCCAGCAGCTGGGTCTGGCAAGAAGAACAGCAGATGATGGAAAAGTCAGCTCAGCCAAGGACTCCAGGGTTCTTTCTGGGCCGCTTGTCCTACAAGCGGTGCACAACCATTTCTCAACCAGACAGCACTACCCAACCCTTTCTTCACCCATCCTCAACTTTTAAGAAGGCTGTACTTTTCCCATTTTACAGATTGAGGTTAGGAAGCAGATGCTGCCCCCAAGGTAAATCCTGATCTGAATGAGCCATCCCATTGACCCACACTAGCTTTGGAGTGGGAGACAGGACATGGATGCCAGGGACCAGCAGCAATGGGAAAAGGAGCACCGGTTCTATAATGCCCTGCTGCAGCCTTCCTCAAACCTGTGTCCTGTGAATGTGTTGAACAACATCTCCCAACATGCCCCAGCAAGCCATGCGATGTCAAAGCCCTGAGAGCAACTACTTTTTTCTGGCCACTAATGATGTGGGTAGGCCAAGGCCCCAAGCATCCATACAGTGTCTCTATACATGCTCTTTTGCCTCTTGGCCAGCAGTCAATGGGGCCAGGCATCATCCTTCAATGGAGCAGATTTGACCCATTCTGACCTTCCCGTTGCTGTAGTTTAACTCTGCTCCCCAACCAGTCCACTCCACACCACCAAAGTGCTTTGATCTGTGAAAAAGAGCTCTGTATTGCCTTGCCAACCTCACACTCCTCCAAGAGCAGCAAACAAAGAGCTTGCTGTGTTTGAGAGTTACCCAGAACTGCCACAGGTACCAGAAAAATGTCATGAGTAGCTATACGGACAGCAACCATGTGCCTTGAATTCATCACAGGACAACCCACCCAATTCATCCCCAGCTGATTTCTCCTGACATCAAACTGCCCTCTTCTCAGCCTCTGACAAAAATGACACCAACAGCTGACTGTGTTCCAATGAATATCTGCTTTCCCAGAGCTAGTGTCTTCCAGATGTTTTGGACGTCAACTCCCATAATTCCTGCCCACTAGCCATTGCTGTCCCAAACATGTGGTTGAAGAAGGCTGGTATACATGAAAAACCCACACACATTTGCTCAGCTGCAAATCTAACCGAGTCCTCAACTTGCAGAATGCTGTGCACATGGTTAAGCAAGAACCAATGGGCATTCTGAACTCTGGAAAACCATGACTATGGTCTAGATCATGGGTCCTCAAACTATGGCCCGGGGGCCAGATCCGGCCTGCCATGTCCATTTATCCAGCCTGCCATGCCCATTTGGACCTGCCACCGCCCACCTCACCCAGCACACAGGGAGGCAGTGGTTTGCTCGCTCAGAGAACACGATCTCCAAACAAGCAAGCCACTGTCTCATGCACCCACCTCACGGCACGTGCCCGCTCCCGCCTCGCCTCACTTTGCCTCGCCAAGTGCCCCAGCCCCACCTCAGCGCACGCGCCCACATGTGCCACCCCTGTGCCAGCCCATGCGCACCACCAGCATCACCTTTCCGGCCTGCATCCAGCACTTGCAGGTTTCAACTGACTCCTGGTCTAGATGTTGGACTTGGGTATGTGTATAGAGATAGGAGATCAAGGGATGATACGTGTGACCTCGCCTTTATAAATGCTACAGCTTGAAGCTAGAGAATGAAAACAGCACTCACCATTTTCAAGCTATAACAAGAAAAGCTAAGAAGGCAAAGCAGCAAAACATATTTCATCAGGGAACAGAGGATTCAGGTACGATAAGGCTAGTGACTTGGAGCTGCAATGAGGGAGGAAGTAGCAAGATAAGCAAACAAAGGAGAGCACAAGATTCTACCTCCCCTGCAGGGAAGAACTTGGTTCTCAATGATCCCAACACTTGGAATGGTGCAACTTGGCAAATGGGATGTATACGCATTCCTGTGTAAACACTAGGGCATCTTTGTGCAATCTTGTGTACCCTACTAAGTTGGACTAGAGTTCACATTATCCCCAGTCATCATGGGGATGATGAGGGCTGTATTCCAACACTCCTGATAGACACTAGGCTGGGCAAGCCTGTCTTAGGATGTCTGGCTACAAAGGCAAACAAGACTTCTTTAATAGTTGTATAAAAAATAGAATGCTGCAAGCACAGCTTATAATGAAAGGGGAGAGAAAAGCCACATCTGCTAAAATTCCCTCTCCTGCACAATTAATTAAAGGTACAAGAGCCT